AAGTCATGAAATTGAGGATAAATTAGGGCTCGGTCGAATAAAAAGTTCCATTGAATTTCAACGGTTTTTTTGAAATTAATTTTTGTTACAATGTCAATAATGTCAATAAAATGAAAAATTATTTTGCAAAATATCAATGTTTTTTTTGAGCATTGTAATGCATCCAATAAATTTTTCTTGATCTGTTCCTAATTTTTCAGCTTTCAAATATTTGTAATTAATGAGTTTCTAACGATTTTTTTAATTCACTTATTTTATTGTGATATAAACCAATGTAAACAAACGAATGGAATAATTCAAATGTTGACGGTTATGAAAAAAGTTTTTCAGAAAAATCATTAATTTAACTAATTTAAACAAGCTTTTTGAAGATTTTAATAGCAAAGGATTAGAAAGAATTGAAAATCCTACAATTTAGTATAATTTTTGTATCTTATAATGAAGTTTTCGCAAAGTTATTAGTATTTTTTGTGAAAATTCAAAATAATGGAACTTTTTTTCAGTGTCAGAAATCGGTAGTTTATTGGATTTTCTGGATTAATTAAAAGACTTTGTGTTATGTTATGCACATGAAAATACTCGTTTTCAAAAACTTTATATTACTAACTATTGAGATAATTACGTAGATATCCAGGAAAAGAGAAAAACATAAACATTTTTTGATTTCTGACATTTATTCAACAAACGACCAATTAGTTTTTTTTTACAAATTTCACAAATGCTTATCAAAAATTTGACGCACGAATTTCAATCGCAAATGTCTCGTTTCGGGCATATTTGGGCATGTACACATTAATATGGAAGGGTAATTAGACTTTGTTCTTTATATTTTAATAGGTTTGGTAGAAGCGGAGAGATGCAAATTTAACTTATGAGTGTTTAAAGTCTTGGTAAATTTCAAAAAAATTAATCATAAATATTCGCCTAATTAATAGGTTTTTCTTTGGTTTCTTCACACAAACACAAAGTACTAAGCTTAATTAAGCTAGTTATCAGGATTAAAGAAATTTGAAGGAGAAAGGAGAAAAAATTTAAGAAAAATATTTGTCATTTTGTACACAAATTTATTGGAATCTTAAAATCAAATTTTTGTGAATTAGCCAACATATTAAAACGTGATATTTTTACAGAATATAAAACACATCTGGCTTTAAAAACATATAGTTTAATTAACTTGTTATTTTTGAACATTTTTTTCAAATCTGAATCATTGTGGTTACACAATTACAAATTTTAACCTGCCGGAAACCCAATAAAACCATGAGACTGAGCTAACAAACAAGACCCGAACTTTCTTCGATGTCTGGTTCATATTTAAGTGAATTTTTAAACTCCTTTGAGACAAGAGTTTTTAAAAATATTTAAAAAATACTATAAAAAAAAAACATTTTTTTTAAAAAAAACACGCTTTTATTTCCGATTACAGTGCATTTAAAAGGAAAAAATAATTTTTTTCTAAGCACTCAAATATGATACACGAAAAACCGGCGGGGCTCGTGGGAACCTGGGGTGTTCTCGGGTGGGGACAACTACACGTGGAGCTTTTAGGGGTAAAAAGCTTCCAAAAACTCTTTAGGGGCCATTCACTTATTACGTAACGCTTTTAGGGGGAGGGGGGTCTAAGATTTTGTTACGGTTCAAACAAGGAAATTTTTTTTCATACAAATTTTGTTACGAGGGGGGGGGGGTCTAAGAAGTCATTTTTTCGCGTTACGTAATAAGTGAACAGCCCCTTAGATATTTTTTGATTAATCGGTCAAAATAGGGGGCCTCGTAGGAACCGGGGGTTCTCGGGTGGGGAACACAACATAAAAGCTCTTTTGAGGGATCAAAAGCTTTCAAAAAAGCTCTATAAAAGCTTTCAAAAACGGGTACAAGGATTTTCTCCGAAAATCAATTTTCAGGTGGGTACAAGGATTTTCTTCGAAAATCAATTAAGCAAGTGGGTAAAAGGATTTTCTTCGAAAATCAATTTTCAGGTAAGTACAAGGATTTTCTTCAAAAATCAATTAAACAAGTGGGTAAAAGGATTTTCTTCGAAAATCTATTTTTCCAGTGGGTTTTATATTTAAATAGGTTCAAGGATTTTCTTCGAAAATCTATAATTTAAATAGTGTTTAAGGATTTTCTTCCAAAATCTATTATTGTTTTTATTCCTGCTGATTAGCCTTTACAACACTTTTTTTTTAACAAACGCTGAACCTGGTATATCACAACACTATTATAGGAACAAGCTTTTTTGAAAGCTTTTGACCCCCCGAAACAGCTTTTATGTTGTGGTCCCCACCTGAGAACCCCCGGTTCTCACGAGGCCCCCTAGTTTGACTGATTAATCAAAAAATATCTAAAGAGCTTTTTTGGAAGCTTTTATGGAGCTTTTTTAGTGCTTTTTACCCCTAAAAGCTCCACGTGTAGTTGTCCTCACCCGAGAACACCCCAGGTTCCCACAAGCCCCGCCGGTTTTTCCCAAGCTTCGCTTGGGAAACAATTTAGGTTGAAGACAATTTTTTAAAAAAAAAGCTTTTTGTGCCCCGGGGTAAGTCGCCCCCCACCTAAAATCAACTGATAATGGTTCCAAGAAACATTAGAAACAATATAAAAACGTTTAAGATGCAAATTTTACAATAATTAAGCATTTTTGTGTTTCCAGTGTTAAAATATTGCATTGTCATCGAGAATACGTGTGCATTAAAAATTTGAGCTCTATTGGAGCAGTGAAAGTGGTCGTAAAATCGATTACAAGATTTGACTCAGACAAACAGTGTGAGTTAAATAAAAGCGTGTAATACTAAAAAAAAAAGCTATTTTTTATGATTTTACTCACCTTTACGATAAAAAACCAACAAACAAACAAGCCAACAATTTAACAAAACGTGATAGTTCTAAATAACACAATTAACAAATAAATAATTGAACAATAAGGAATAATTCGCACTACAAAAATTTTACAAATGAAATGAGCGAAAAACGTGGGCGTGAAGTACGGCCGAGACCTATATCGGCACAGTTCAAAAGTTACACCTAATTTATGTCTTAATTATGTCAGTTACATAAACACTTACCCTGTTTTTTTCGTTATATTATATGTTTTATCGTCTCTTAAATGTTAAAATATTATTAAAAAGTAACTAATCCTGAATTATGTCGCTATTTTGTCAAGTGTTTTAAGATAAAGAAAATGTATGAACTGTGTCGATATAGATCTCGGCCGTACTTCACTCCCACGGTAAAAACTTGATCAAATTCAAATTTTTAAAAACTGTTAAAAATCTGAATAGAAGCAGATTGAAGTCCAAAGCTTATAGTTGGAATTGATAAGATTTTTTCATTAAGATCGTCTGAAAGTTCATCATAAATTATATGGAGCATGGCATCATGGTTCATGGATTTAAGAGAATTCGCCGAAGCCTGACTGGGGTAAAGAAGTTAATTTATGTAAATTATATCTTAAAAAGGATAAACGTAACTGTAAGTAAAAGTAATTGTTTCTATATTACATCATTCACTTAATTTATGATAATCTTATTTACAGTTCATTGCTTGGATTATAGTCGTTATGTAGTCAAGAAGGCAAATGTATCAGCTGAGAAGGAATTCCAATTTTGTGAAGATAAAATCCAGAAGAACTTTTCAAACTATTCATCATGGTTTTAAAGATCTCATTTACTTCCAATTATACATCCAAATGAAAGCGACCAATCTAGATCAATATCTGAGGAAAAATTGAAGGAAGAACTAGAAATTGTAATAACAGCAGCATTTACAGACCCAAATGATTCATCAGCATGGTTTTATCAGAGATATTTATTAGGATATTCAGATCCAAAATTTGATATTGCATGCTTTAAGCTCATTAAACAGCACATGATTATTGCATTCACGAAAGCTGTTGATTTGAATAGAGATAAGATAAGCATTTTTATTGACAATAATTGTGATAGTCAATGGATGGCTATATCTGGCAATAAAAGTGACTGCATTTGGATTAATCAAGGCGATTTTGAAGTCTCTGATGAGATCTTAATTAAAGTCACTCACGCTGATCAAGAATATTCGTTAACTGCTAAAAAGTATGACAAAAGTGCCGTAATTGGATGCAAACTTCCTTCTTTTGGCTATGAATTCGGAATTGCTGTCAAAGAGGAACTTAAAATTCAGCTAGAATCGTGCAATCAACTCTTAGAATTTGAACCAGATAGCAAATTTACTTTACTAACGGCTGCCTTAATTAAATGGATATTAGGAGTAAAGCTTAAAGAATTTGTGGAAAGTGGAAAATACGAGAAAATCGACTTGGCAGCACTCGACCTTACAACTGTCTATTATAATCAATTCTTAGTCATTGCAAATGAAATTGATCTACGTGAAAATCCAGCATTGAACAAAAGTTCCTGCAAGTTTTTGCTAGTTCAACGCTGCAGTAGTAAGCTTTTAAATCTGTCATCATTTAGAAATAAGTTGAAATTCGCATGCAGAAACGCTATCGATCATAATTTGTTGCTAAGATTGTGTGCTTATTAATTTTATTGAATTGAACAATAAAGCTTTTATATGCTGAATATTGTTAGAATTAGTACAAATTACTGGTCTTTTTGAATTTTTAAACTGTAATAAACATAGGGGCCATTCACTTATTACGTAACGCTTTTAGGGGGAGGGGGGGGGTCTAAGATTTTGTTACGGTTCAAACAAGGAAATTTTTTTTTCATACAAATTTTGTTACGAGGGGGGGGGGGGGGGTGGGGGAGGGGTCTAAGAAGTCATTTTTTCGCGTTACGTAATAAGTGAACAGCCCCATACATGAGGAGCAATGTTTCATGCACCACGATCGAAAACTGTTGAATGGTTTTCGAATTTGAATTCCAAAAAGCAGTTAAAATACAAAACTTTCAATTCGTTCATTTTAAACCTTTATTGCTTTTTAATTGCTTCTGAAAGATTCAATAAATATAGTCAAGAAAAGCTTTTCATATTTTATGTAATATAATTTTATTATAGATATTTTATTACTTTTATCCTTTGATCAACACATTAAATTAAATAACAAGTATTGTGTTTATAACAATTTTTCTAATTCATATAATGTTATGTTATGTAAGCCCTTCGAGCCCGCCGAAGTTGAAATGGAAAAGGAGGGAAAAGAATATGGATATTGTAACTAAGGGTGATATAAAGCAGTTAAAAATGAAATCAAGTGATTGTAAGTAATGATGGCTTTGTTGATTCTTTAAACTCTTCTTTTATAATTACGTTCTATGAAATAACTTTATGTAAAATTAATATTGCAGTGGATGGAGACGCTCAAGGCGAAGATGCCATTTTGGATGTCGAGGATGCTTTAAGAAAATGGCGTGTGAGTGATAAAACAGTTGAGAGTGCTCTCGGAAACTGCAAATTTACAGAGTGGAATGCAAAATATACATTGCGCCACTATGATTGCATAAGCGCACTTGCTTTTCATCCTAAAGAGTCCGTCTTGATAACAGGATCAGTAGATCATACTGTAAAAATGTGGAATCTGGAGAAAACATTTTATTCAGGAAAATCTCTTGATGTGGAACCAATCTACACATTTAGAGCTCACACTGTACCAGTTTTATGTATTGCAATGAACGAAGGTGGTGATCAATGCTACTCTGGAGGACTTGATGGTGTCATAAATTTTTGGAATGTACCTCCTTATAATAAAGATCCATACGACAGTTACGATCCGGAAGTTCTAAAATGCACTCTTGAAGGTCATACGGATGCAGTGTGGCGACTCGCGGTAAATCATACGACAGGAAATCTTTTGTCTGCTTCGTCAGACGGTACTGTCAAACTCTGGTCACCACAATCAAAGATCCCATTAATAAATACATACAGAAATAAAAAGGAAGGAATTCCAACTTCTGTTGATTTTGTTCGTGATGAAACAGATAAAATAGTTGTGAGTTATAAGAGTGCAATCTCAATTATCCATGACTTGGAGACAGGCAAGCCATTGCTAAAGTTAACACCAAATAGAATGTCTAGTCCGAAAGATTCATCAAAATATATTTATCGAATTTTATCTCATCCAACAAAGCCAATAATCATAACAGCACATGAAGACGGATGGATTCGATTCTACGATGTAAACGATGGCACTTTACTTCATGCAATGGTCGCACATAAAGATGCCGTAACAAGCTTAGCAATTGATATTGATGGATTTTATTTGCTAACTGGTTCACACGATTGTTCAATGCGGCTATGGAATATTGCAAAGTATAAGATTTGCGTTCATGAGATAACAGCTCATCATAAGACAAATCAAGAAGGAATTCTTGATGTCACTTTCCATCCCACAAAGCCTTTAATCGCCAGTGCTGGCGCTGATGCATCTGCAAAAGTTTACGTTTAACATAAATTTTGTCTTAATTTGAATTCCAAAAAGTCGTCAAATAAATATAAAAATAAAAAAGCGGAAAAAAGGTTTTCATTAATGTTTTTCCCGTTTGTTTTCCTGTAAATGCGATTCCTTTTAATATGAAATATGTGTAATTTTATTAAATGTGCTTCGCACAGTTTGTAAACTAGACTTTAACCGTTACTGTTTAAAGACAGCATAAAATCTTATACATATTCATTTGTTTTCATTATAATCATAGTTTTCATCATAAATTTTCTCTTCGGATGTTCATGAAAAATTGACTCGGTAAAAATATTCTTCTTGTCCAATATTCCTGATCTGCATGATACAAATGATTAAACAATTAATTTTATTGCACAATGATTCATCAGATTTGAAATAAGTGTTTAAAAATTCCTTGTGCACTTAAATCCAGAGTAATCAATTTTAGTCTGCTAGCTTTCTCTGTTCATTGTAACGAATAACGATCGAATTTTTTTTAAAAACAATGCTGTATATATAGGGAGAAACTGTTTAAATATTTGATCCATGATTTGTGAATTGTAAAATTTTAAAATATTTAATTAAATACAGTGAATTCAATTGGTTCTGATTATTTTTGTTGAATTAAAAGTTTGTGTAATTAAAATGGACAGTGAAAATGATGAGGAATATCAGAGAATAGAAAGTAAAAAGGAATTGAGAGCAAAGAAATTGGGATATAAACCGCAAAGTGAATTATTTTGTAATTTCTATCTGCCTTATGCTGCTGATGAAAGTATTTTGGACAAAGAAAGCCATAAAAATATTGAGTACATCAAGCAGAATTTGGGATTATGTGTGGCTCTTCGAGAAATCTATCCCTCAATGCTTTTTATAAGTAAATTGATGAAGTAAGTTTCTGTAACTTTATTACATGACAATGCAAAAAATTACACTGAACTTTATTACATCTTTAACCTTTACAGCTATATCAAGCTATATGGATATAAATTTTCAAAAGACGATCACATCCAGTTCATCAAATTATTGCTGAATTTCATTCAAATAAAAAATTTGGATCCTTCAAAACTAAACAAGTAAAGTACTTCCTTTTGTGTCTAAAATTTCATTTGTTTAAGATATTATTCATATTTTAGATGCTGTTCTTGCTTGATACAATTATTAAGGTAGGTGAAACATGAAGCAAATAAATAATACACAAAATGTTAATTATTTTTATTGATAGGAAATCTCATTTGTTATCACCAGAAGACTTGGAAATTGATTGGAGACCGCTGTATAATTTATGCAGATTATATATAGATAAACGTAGTTCGAAAGGAGATTTAATAAGATCCTATCCGTAAGTTTTATGCGAAAAGGTTTTTTATTTTGATAAGATAATCAATCTTTTTTAATTCCTAGGACATTAGACCAAGTTATCATGCAAACTGTTAGGTTTTCGTCATATTATTTTCCAAAATTAGCAAATCAAGAGATTATTGATGAACTTCTTCCTAATGTTCTGCCATTGGATATTGGGAAAGTAGATTCGGCAATGGAATTGTTATGTTTATTCATCAACTCAAGTCATTATGAGGGTTGGTTTGACTATTTAATGGAAATATGGAACATTTATCATTATCCGAGTTGGAACGTTGATATAATGAATACAATTGCAGCAACAGCTTCGCAGAATATTGGATACATCTATTGGACGCCACATATACCTATCATGTTTACACGAATTATGCGATCTTTGGAACTTCCTGTTAGCTACAAACAAATAAAAAGTTCAAGGAATCAATCACTTTCAATGGATGCATGCGCCACTTGGATTATATCTGTGATATGTCCCCAATATGATACAATGAAATATTTAAAAAATTTATTTTCTACAATTGAAAGCTATTTGAATCCAGCTAACTCAGGAAAATGGGTAAAAGTCATTTCGGAATTGCTTGTTAATTTAGTCCAATATTTTCAAGATCGTCTGGTTAGTGAACGATATAAGAAGCATTCGTGGAAAAAACAAATTCCTGATGATTGCAAATTGCGGAATGAAGACGTAACTGAATTTGTTGAGACTTTTAAGCCCATAGCAATGACTATAATTTATTCTCGAATGCAATCTTATGATATAACAAAAATTATAAAAGGCCTTGCTGATTTACGTCCTGAACTAATATTGCCTGAGATAATCGAAAAAGTATCGACAACAGCTGAACTCATCAATGAACCAAACAAATTTACAGCAGCATTAAACTGCTTATCGAGCGTTGCGTCTGCAATTGTTACAAACAAAAAGTATTGCACATCTACAAAGACAGAACTTATTCCCATAATGTTTTCAATTCTTCCTGGAATTGATTCAAATGATTTTAAAAAGACATCAATTACTTTGCACTTTTTAATGACTGTTTCATTTTTAATTCCATTCGTTGATTGCTCAAAAGCCTCACTTGTTCTTGATGACTTAACTGAAGATGAAATATTAATTAGTGAACAAACAGCACAATTTGAGGATTTTATTTTGCAATTTATCGACCGAATTTTTGTTTTAATTGAAAGTTCTTCTGTTGAGAATATTAGAATGGAACATGCCTCAAACGGCGATAATGAGGTCAAATCTAAATTGGAGTCGCTTGCTGAAATTTTAATCCAAAATACAAGCCATTCAATTCTGAGCCAATGTTCTCAAGATATTCTACGTTCAGCAACTAAGAAAATAATTAATTATGTCAAAAATAATGCATTGGAACCGAGAGTGGCGGGAACAGCAATGAGTATTTTGTGTAAAGTCTTTGCTCGTGTTAATCCAAAAGAAATTTATCACGCCTTGATTCCATTCATAGTTGAAATGATTGAAACACATTTCAATGAAATTGATGATGCCTACTGCATTGAGAAACAAAACGACGACTTTCTATATTACGTTCAAATTTTATCCAATTTGATACGCGGTGATCCTATTGAAATCCAGCAATACATTGACACACTCTTCCCAATAATTGACAAACTATTGAAATGCAAATGTAAAGCCACAAATCGCAATGGAGCAAATATGATTGGAAGCTTGTTGAATATTTTATCAGTAATTCAAATTAATGATGTTAAAACTGTACCAGAAGCATATGAAAAGTCTTTAAAAGAATTCTTTCCGATAAGATTTTGGGGAAGAAAAATGAATCGAGATGAGAAATTTGATTGGTTTGTTCCGTCTGAAAATGAACGCAAGCTTTGTGAAAAGATCATTCATTATTATTTACTGCCAATTCTGGATAAATTAGAAAAATACACAAATGGATCTCTTGATATTAGCAGAGACGATATGCTGCTCAATTTATTCATCATCAGCTCTATTTTAAAATGTAACAATTTCTTAGATAATTGGGAAGAGGAACCAATAAAGTTGGTTGAATGTTTGACTGCTGTTTGGAAGCCATTTAAGTTAGCTCTTGGTTATGAAAATTTATGCGTCAAGATGCCTGATCAATCAAATGTTAGAAAGACAATTGTTAATATGCTCGAGAAGTTACAAGCAAAACTTCTTAAAGACAGCGAAGATGACATAAAATCCTTTAGACAGTTAATTAGTATTTGGGAAAAGATTCATATTAAAATGAATAGTTCTCAGAGCTATGACTCGCAGATGAAAAACTATCAACTTTCTAAGCAATTCCAGGATTTTAAGTTGTGCAAAGTTCGGAAAGACATTCGAGCAATTAATGCAACCCGAGTAAGTTTTTTATATTATTCATTTTACGATGTTTCTTACCTCAATACTCAATTCTCAACAAAAATATTATTCGAATTATTTTCTAGGTCATTGTGCAGCATGACCTGAGAGATGAGTTAACAAAGCCATCATTCACACCAACTCATCGACGTATAATGTTAAATTTAATAACTTTGGGTACAAGTCATTACTCAATTATACGATCATTAGCACAATCTAAGTTATTTAAGATGTTGACAACATATTCGTTCTCATATAAAAGGTATGTCCTCAATTCTGTTGTAATAAAATTAATGCTAATTATCGTGTTGATGCGCTTACAGCGTTGTCGACAATATAGTAGAATTTTTAAAGTTAGATCCGAATGAAAATCATGAGAGCTTTAAAGGAGCTTTATATTTGATTGGAACAAATCGTCGTAGTCGATTAATGTTAAGATCAGATTGGGAAACAATCGAAAAATTATGGCTAACGTTTCTAAAGACAAAGTTGAGTGAGAAGCACTCGATTATTAGACTGATGGAGTCAATAACTGATGGCGTGAACAATGAATTTCAGACAATTTCAACACAATTGTTTGTGGATGAAGAATTTGCCAAATTTGGAGCAAGTTTAATGGTCGATCAAAGTAAATTACCAAAAGATTATTTGTTGGTCGGAAATAAGAAGCTTCAAATGTTGAATGAGAAGAATGAACAATGCTATCAAAAGTTGTTGAATGAAATTTTAAAATATTCTCAAGAAAATTCACTACACTGGAGGTATAATCTTCTCTGTGGTACATTTGTTAATGATTTGATGCACCCATTTTCAAAATATCCTGTTTTTGTGTCAGAAATTTACTGTAAAAATTTAATCAACGAATCAATTAGCGAGAGAATGCTCGCTCTAAAAATAGTAAGTACTGTTTTAAAGCAACAGAAACGCGATCATGTTAAAGTTACAATCGATCCATATCAACACACAATTATGGACAGAAATGAAATAAGCGGAATTTGCAAACCTGGGCTAAGACATGACAATAAATGGCTGCAATACGATATTAATTCAGTGCCAAAAAATCAAGAAGAATGGGATGAGCCTCGTTATATATATAAAATTAATGGATTCTTTGGATGGACACCAAAAGTTGAAGTTTATGCACCAAACTCAATGCAGCCAATATTAGATCGATCATATAATGAATTGAGTGATCACGAAAAGGTCTTTTATAGTTTCTTTAAGGATCCGAATAATTTAGAGAAATTAATTTATTATTGGAGTTTAGAGGAAAAGAAAGGAAATGAAAAGTTCCATCGATCCAGATTCTTTTTTATCAAGCAGATTTTCGACATTTTTGGAGATACTTTCCTTGATGATTTTCTGAGTTATATTGAGCCTTTGATTAAGAATCAAACAAGTGAAAGTTCTCATCGTTGTGCTGCAGAAATTTTGACAGGAATGATGCGCGGAGCTAAACATTGGAATTATGAAAAGACTAAAAACTTATATGACAAAATAACACCATTAATCAAATTAGCTTTGGATAATATCACACCGGAAAGTGACTCGATTTGGGGATGTGCATTCGCCACAGCTTCAGAAAATATGGATCCAAATAAACAATATTTCCTCCACGAAATCTTATTGGATAATCCTATTAGAGATTTAAAAAGTTTTACAGATTGCTCTCGTCTTTATTGTTTACAAGGTGCTTTTAATCAGCATGCATGGAGAATGATAAGTGTTGGACGTCGACTTTTGAACTATCTTGATCCATTTTTAAATCATCCATTTCAAAATGTCAGAGATAGAATTGGAAGTACATTGATTAATATTTTTGAAAATGATCTTAATTTTGAGGAATATAAGAAAGGGCTGATTCCAAGAGTAAAGGATTTCCTCACTAATAAGCAAAATGAAATTTCGATTATGGAAAATGACGAAAACTCAAACCATGGTAAGTTTTAAAAATATCAGAATTTTTTATGACTTATTCCAAAAAATTATTAATTACAGTTATAGAAACAAACACCCCATATGCATCATCGATTCGATTTTTTAAAACAATTTCTCAGTTCTTAATTGGCGTTCTTAATAGGTCAACTAATGGAAATGAATCTATCTATACAATCCTCTTACCCGTTGCTATTCGTCTTGAAAAATGTGAATACGATGTTGAGTTGGCTGAAGTTTGTACTGCCATTTTAGCATTGATAGCACAAGCTTTTACTCAACCATCTCGTATGAATGATTATATAATGAAAATTGAGGAAGTATCTCAACATTCGTCTTGGCAATGCCGTTTATCAGCTATAGACATTTTACAAGTTCTTACATTTAATAATATGCCTATTGTTTTGAGTCAAAAAATTTGGGTCGAACAAATTCAATCAATAGTTTTAAGATTACTTGAAGACAATATGCTGGAAGTTCGAGTAAAGGCTGCTGAGGTTCTTGGAGGATTAATTCATTGCTCGTTCTTACCAGCAACTGATAAATTATTAGAATTATTCAAGAAAAAATGTCAGACAAAAATTGTTAAAAGATCTACAGTGTGCTCTCTTGAGCCAAACATTAGAGTTCGTCATTCTGGAGTTTTGGGACTATGTGCCTTCATTTCAGGTAATTTTTTCAAAACATTAAATTCAATAATACTTGATTAAGTCATTTATATTTTATAGCATTTCCCTACGAGATTCCAAGTTTTGTACCAAATGTTTTTGAAATCCTTCATAGACATCTCGATGATCCTCAACCAATTCCAGTAAGACTTTTTTATTCACAATTTTAGAGATTTTGCTAAAATTTTGATTTTCTGTAGGCAACAATTAGAAAGACACTTGCTGATTTTAAACGAACTCATCATGACGGATGGGACTTTCATCAATTGAAATTTACAGAATCGCAATTGGCTGTTTTAAGTGATTTATCTGTTCCACCCAGCTATTTTAATTAAATTTATTCAAGATTATTTTTTATATTTCATAGTAAATGAGAAATTTATGCAGGTTTTGGTATTGTAAAATGGTTATAGAAATTTTTAAAAATTCAATTATTTTATTCTTCTTAAAGGTTTTATTACAATCAAATAAAGTTATTTAAAATCTCAAGTAAATTGGTTTCATATCTCAATCATCTTGTTTCCGATGGATAATGTTGTTGCAACGTTTTATTTGAAAACAAGAAGTTGAGCAATGCGCAGTTGAGCACCCTAATGTTAAACAAGTTAATGCGTGTAAGCCGTACTAGATTTCTGTAGATAACATTGACGCATTTATTTAATTTTTAATAATTTTAACTTATTAATGCAGTGTTTTTTAGACAATTTAAAAATTGCTGTAAAAGTTGAAAAATTAACTGAAATATTATTTTTAATTTGGGGCCGTTCACTTATTACGTTACGCAAAAAACGACTTTTTTCACCCCCCGTCCCCCTTTGTGACAAGATGTTACAACTCCCAACCCCCCCCCCCTCCTGAACGTTCATAATTTATTTTATTTTGATAATTTTTTATTCTTAAAATACGGTTAAATTCTTTTGTATTTTTTTTCTTAAACATCAAAATACTGCACAGCTAAATAGGTCATGTTTTAATTGATACTATTAGTATTCTCATGAATTATTGGATTGTGATAAAAAGCAAAAATTTGTTTTTTTTTGAAGAAAATTCAAAAATGTCATAAAAAATATTCAATCAACTTTGAATGTAAATATCACAATGATGGGATCATATTAATCATCATATGAATGACAGATTTAGAGAGATTTACTTTTAAACTTATGATTGATTTAATTTTGAAAATTTCCACAAATTATGATTGTATTTTAAAGTCTTGTAAACCAGTTTTCTTTGTTACTTTATATAACAAAAACTATGCATTGCTTATCTATCAAAAGTGATCTGGACATTCATAAATCATTAAAAAGTTGGAAAATTTGAAAAAATGTTTTTGGTGTGGATTTGTAAACAAATTTTTTTCGTGAACTTTTTTTTTAAAGACAGATGACAATTAGAACGTTACATACTTCTTGACCCCCTCCCCCACTCACATTACATTTTGTTAAAATTTTTCAAACCCCCCTCCCCCCTAAAGTGCGAACGTAATAAGTGAACGGCCCCTTTGAAATGCTTTAAAATATCTAAAGCAGTGATAGCGGAAGACAAAATGATGTTTTGGAATAGCTTGATTTGTTGAAAATTCAGCAATAAAAAAATCAAAAACTGAGAAATTCAACTTATTTGAAAGAGTTTTAACTTGCAATTATTTAATTAACTTTTAGTTTTCTAATTTCTCTAATGTAATAATATATTTTAAATTTTCTTGATCCTCATAAATTTTGTAAGTAAGAATAAATAGATACTAACTTTATGATGTTTAGAAGCATTTAAATCTTTTGTTTACGTGCATATCTTGAGAAAAAATTATAATTAGCTGATTTCCTTTAATTTTCTCTTTTATATGTATATATGAAGCTCAATGAATCAACTTTTACCCAAGATTTTAATATTCCTGACTTTTTTTGGGAGTTGTGGAATAGTTGGTATTCTTCTGACCTCACTAGTGTCCAATTCATGGATAATAGCTAAGATTTCCTATATAAACCATACAACAAATGTAACGACTGGAAATGAAAAGAATAATAATAAATATGGCTTTGTACAATTTGGATTGTTCACATATGAAAAAACATTGAATCATGGCTATGGAGAACGACACGATAAAGATATCAATGTCATTTCAGTCATCAAGGACGACGAAGAGATTCTAGGCAACTATTATTTGTGGTTATTTACTGCACTTGGTACTGGCTTTTCATTGTTTGCGTCATCTGTTGCGGCTGTTGCTAGTGTAATAGCAACGATCAAAGAAAAAAGTGGAATGGCTTTAATGATCACATCAAATGTTGTATCTGGAATTGGTCAGCTTGTAGCCTTAGCATGCTGGTTATTTCAGTTTGTAAATTATTTACAACACAATGTTTTACTCAAAGTTGACCAAGATAAATGGTCATCATCAGGGAGATCGACATTCGGATATAGCTTCTACTGCATACTCATTGCATTTGCTGTAATAATCCTCAACATAACACTTCTTGTGTCTGCAAGACGTGCTGACTCGCGTTATCAAAAGAGTCTAGAAGGTCCAATTGATGAAAAGGAGGGGAATTCCATTATGCTATATTAGAACGAAAGTTACCTCTCAGCATTAAATTCATACAAATGAGAGATACATGAACAAAAATGCTCTGATCAATTTTACTTTCAAAAAAGTATAAAAGAATCTCTTGCGCCATAGACTTAATTAGAATTAATCAAAGATTTCCATCTAAATTTAGTTTTTAAGGTTTATCATCTATTGTGAACTTGCCACATTGAAGCACATCCTTGTTTGTTAAAAAAAAAAACAATAAAATATTTCTTCAAAATAAATTCTAAATGCAGCTGATTAATCTCCAAAAGAACATGAGATTTTTTATTATTGTGTTTTGTTCAATTTTGCTTCTTAAAATAATAAAGGTAAGAAATAATCCAAATAGAAATAAACGATTTAAAGCAAACAGTCCAATTAAATATTTTGTTCCTGCTCTTAAATTTGCAAAATATAATTTTTCTTATTTATTTTCATGCTTTTAGTGCGTAAACTACTTATGTCGATACTGTGGGTTAAAAACTTAATACTTTCAACTTTTCTAGGTATTACTTTTTTAAAAAATTATTTTATTTCCGAATAAAAGTTCGATTAAAATTGTAAAAAAAACCTGAGTTACGTGCGATAAAGATAATAATTTGGGAAGCAAACAAAAATGTCTAAATTTGTTTATTGGAAACGACTAAAAATGACTTGTAGGGATTTTAATCATGATATTAAAAATCACAGTGTAAAGTTTTAAAAACATTTAATTCTTAAACTACAACCCAATTTAAACCTCTATTTAATTACACTGCTTTAAATTTCCAAAAGTCATTGAATCCATTAAAAATCTTCATAAACATTATTCGTCGATTATGCAGTCTAGGTAATGTCTGTGAAGTATTGAGCAGGTCAAAAATATTTTATTTTGTTAAAAAATTAAATGATTGATCTTGCCGATAAAATGTTATTCTGTTTGGTTAAAGCTGTGTATCTTTTTCGAATGAAACGTGAGCACGCATGCCATGATTCAGCTTGACACTCGGATTAAGTTGATGTGAATTTATTTTGACGTTAATCGATGAAAATGTGACAAAATATCTTGAAATTTTCTCATAAAGCTTTAAACAGTAGCAAGATAATAATAAATTTTTAAAAGCTTTTTCTATTAAATTTTAAATTTAATCAAATAAGGTTAAATATCTGTCTCTTAAACCTCATCTACACAAAGTAGTATTTCAATTAGAAAAGTAAGAAAATAAATATTGAATCAGTGCAACACTATTGTTCCTAAGAATTCTACGTGAATAAGACCGTCACCATTGCATTTTATAGATTGATTACTGTCTGGTGAATAGATGATGAGATGCTAAGTGGACTATGATGTAAGAACAATTAGCTTTATTAGCATGCCTATTACCGCTTCAAAGTGCAGTGTACGTAGTCATATAAAGGTGATAATCATATTTTTATTTTGTTTGTCAAGTGATTTTGAAACTATAATTCTAAAGCATCACAGCTCTTATTTATATCTTTATAAAACGCATTTATAAATAAACAATCCGTTTATTGTTTGAATTGTGTAGACTTAAGTAAATATTGATTACTGGACACATTATCGCATTTTAAAGTGATTGAAATTTTGAAAAAAAAACTCGTCTATCCATTTTCATAATTGATCTTAGTTTTTTTTAAAAAACTAGCATTTAATGGTACATAAAATTTTATAAAATTGGTAAGTTTTTAAAAATAATATTGATAACATTTTCATATTCAAGAAACTCAAAGCACAAAAGAATTTGCATGGCTGTTTGTGCGATTCTAGAAGAAGAGAAATCTGCATGAAAGTTTTAATAGAAAAAGATTCTTCTTCTTCTTTATCTTTATTAAGGTCCTATTTTAAAATAAAGCTTAAGACCATTTTCAATTCCAATTTTTTGACATATTTTAATTTTAATTTTTTATAATAGAAAAAGAGATGAGTATATTTGTTGATTGATATTTGTGGAATTTCTTATTTTTTATTAAATTCGTTGAGAAAAATTTATAAAAAAAAAAATATTAAAAACTTTTAAATAAATACGACCATGAAGTAAAGAATAAAGAGAGGGTTACTTTTTTTACATCTCCTTTAAGATGTGTGTTAGTAATTTAAACATTCATAAGTTTTTCTTTACGTTAGTTTCAATCTGTATAAAAGCTTTGCATCGAAGGCTTAAAAAGCATTTGTTGATTGATCTTTCATGAGTTAATTGTGTTGAAAACTTGTGATAAAAAATATTTTAAGAAAGAACAAAATCAAATTGATATTTTTAAATTGTGATAATTTTGGACGAAAATGATTATTCAAGCAGTAAGTTAATTCAAAAAACTATTTTTCTTTTTTCACAAAGAAGGGGACCAAAATATAATATTGCTAATCATTGTAATAAAAATTTAAGAGCCTAATCATGAACAGATATAATTTATTTATGAAGAAATGTTTATTCATATTTATTAAAAATGCAGATTCTTTCACTCTAAGTCCAAATAATCATATTCACACAAAAATTTTTTTTTTTATAAATTCGATCGAATCAGTAAAGTTCAAAAATCCACACTTTATTTGCTCCGAATACAGTTTTTGCATATAAATGACAAATGTCTGAATTATTGTTTAATCGAATTTAAGTTTTAACAATTGTGTTTGAGGAATCTTTGTTAACAAATCAATAATTAATTCAGTTTTAATCCAAATCAATTTTCATGTAAGATAGTGCAACATCTTTTTGTTCTGTTTTTTCTTTATATTTTTATAATTTCTTTAAATTTCAAAAATTCAGAAATGAAAAAAAGATATAAATTGTTAAAGTTATTTTCAAATATTTAACAGTGAAGATGATGACACTTAACTTAATTGTTTAAATAATGCATCAGAAAGTTATTTTGAATTGTCATTTTACATGTGCACATAATAAATTCATATGCATTGATTTTGGCGAATTCAGAGTTTTTATTTTAGTAAAATTAAGTATTCAGTAAAATTAAAACTTTTTACTATAAATTAAAACAAATTTTTTTCTTTGACTTTTAATTTAAAATTTTCTCGAAAATATTATTGTTGGATTGATATCCTTTTAAACTTTTGAAATCTTTGTGGAGGAACGTGACGTTTTATTGAGTTTCAAACTCGTGACTTTAATGGCATATTGAAAGTATCAATTAAATTTTACTATTGTGAAAATATCAACATAAAAAAAAATAATGAAATTTTTAAATTTAAAATAAATTGAAAAAAATATTCATTCGTAGGTATTTCAATTTTATGATTCAGTGGAAATCAATTGATCTATGTTACGAAACTGTCATAGGAAAATAAAGATCATACATCATTCAGTTTCATAAACTACGTTTTCCGTGATTGTTTGACGTCATAAAAAACTTATAAATAACCTTAGAACTCAAGAGAGTGAAAAGTTATTACTCAACGATCTTAACAGAAATACTTACTTTTTTAATTGTATATTAATTATTATTATTTTGTTTTTGCTAATTGAATGTGTACACTGTACAGTTTAATGATTTGTTCAAAAGAATAAAGTGGAAAAACAAATGTCTAAAGAATGAAGTATCAACACAAAAGTATATGTTTGCGCTTCGATGTCGGTCATTTTAATATTTTCATGTTTGTTAAATATTTGAGTGTGAAATAAAGCGGCTCGTGGCTTCTTTTGTAGTCATTTATGCCTAACAAAAATATTGAATTTAGTAATTCTATTGTTGATCGGTGGATAAAAGTGCCCCTAAATTGATGCTTACCTTATTCATTGCACAAAAAGCTCGCAACAATATTTTGAAAAAAAAAAAATCTGTCACCAATTTCCATGTTTGATGTGTATATTTAGGACTTTTGTTTAAATAGTGTTGAAATCTAGGTTAATAAGCAAAAGAAATTTAACGGTCGTTTGAGATTTAAAAAGTAACGGTTGTTCAAAATTTGAATTCGAGTCCAAAGTTTGAACCTCAAGAATTTTTGGCGGGAATTTTAAAGTATAAAAGAAGGAATTTTTGGGAGAAATTATTCATTCGAGTTTAAGAACTCATAAGGGCAACATCTAAAGAAAACTAAAGGAAAGAGTATTTTTCAATACTAACAAAAAACAAAGCACTTATAAGTGCTATTAAAAGAAAAGGATTTTTAATTATCAAACTTCAAAGTGGAGCTTGAACAGGAGGTAAAGTGGGACCGGTTTGAGGAGGAGCTAAAGACTTGCTCTACTCTCAAGTCTGAGGAAAGTTTACGGGCAATAGAAGCTGAAATTGAAGAGCGTGAAGTCGTACTTTTATCACACTTAAGGGATCCGGTCAAAGTTCAGCAACGTGAACGTGAGGCCTCGAGACGGGGGACACAAAGAAGGCTTAATAGAAGATTCCAGCCATATCAACAATCACAACAAATAGGCACAAAAGTGTCTTGTTTACCGTAATTCTATAAACATTTCAAAATGCAGCGTATTTTAGAATGAATGTTCGTCAATTTTTAAGACTTATTCATGTCTGCAAAAGTTATAAAAAAAACATATTTAATTCATAACAAAACTTATTTTTGGCTTTAAATACATTGTTTGATTAAAACTGCAAAAGATTTCGTTTAAATACATTTGCTAAAGTAAGATTCGAAATAGCTAAAGCTAATACATTACTTAATCACTTCAAGTATGTTTGACATTTACTACATCTTAATTCATTCTATCCAATTTGCAGATTGAACGTGCATCTTTCTTCGATATGTCACTTTTTCTGACAGTTACTCTGATAAGCATGATCATTTTTGCTATGTCTGATTATTTAAAGAGTGTCGTTTTAGCCTTTCGAGTGCCTGGTCCAAAAGCATATCCGATTATTGGAAATACAAATTTTGCAATTGAAGGAGATGGTGAGTAATCATTAATAATCATTCCTTCTTCAAAAGATACTGTTACATCATCATTTTAGGCATTGTGACATTTCCAAACCTTTGTATATTTAATATGAAGACCAAACGTAATACAATAAATAATGTAAATCGTCATGTTTGTTTCTTTTTCCCTTTCATCTTATTAAGACATTAGAAAATTCTATCTTGTCAGTTCAAGTTCAAAGATTCCATCTTTTCATTCATTTTTAATTTTCATTGTCAAGTTCAATGTTGTTCAATAAATATTCCATAATCTTAGCTAATTAATTTTCTTTTGATTCCGACCGATTCCGCTATGTAAAATGATAATAAGTGATAATAACAGAAATTTCTGATGGCTATGACTATGAGAATAGGCGTTTTTTTACATATTTACACATTTTATTATCACGTCTTCAGACGTTTTATAACAATCCAAGACATTATTTGTGTTCTAAATATTTTGACATTAAGATCTTAACATTTTAGCTACAGATTTTAATAGTTTTAAATTGCAAATTTGTTTTGTTGCTTATTGCAATCAATAACAACATTATCATTAAAAAATGATTTTTTTTTATCTTTCTAATAGTTTTTCAGAATAGAGGAGTGCCATTATCAAGGATATGTCCAGGGTTATTACGTCTATGGTTCTTTATCTTTCCTTTTTTTGCAGTTTATGAGCCAGAATATCTTCAAAAAATTCTGGGTTCAAAAGGAAACACGGAGAAATCATTTTTCTATAAGTTTTTACACAACTTTCTCGGTAAAGGTTTGATTACAAACTCTGGCACGAAATGGTCGTCACATCGTCGTTATATTCAACCTGCATTCCGTAACAGCATTTTAGAAAAATTCGTTAAAACTTTTGCCGAAAGTGCACAGAGTTTGAAAGAAAAAATAATGAGAGGACCGGATGTGCTGAATATTACACAATTTGTGAATGATTGCGTCCTTGATGTCCTTAATGGTAGATAGATCTTTGTCATGTTGAGCAAAAAAATATTGAATGTCTATTTTTCCAATTTAGAAGCAGTATTGGGAGTTCCGATTTTAGAAAGAGCAACGAAAGGAAAGAACGAAGAATCACCATGGAGACAGTAAGAACCAAAAACTTTTTCATGTGAAATTTAATTTAAATTTTTATATTCACACCGTTTTCACGTGTGAATCTATTGGTTTTGTTCAGATTGAAAAATCAGTTTTTTGAATTTTGTGAGGATATGGAGCAAGAAAGCTTAAAATGTTCAGTGATGAAAAGTTTGTGCCTTGAATTTATTATCTTTTGCAAAAAAACAGATTTCAAATTGGTTGCGGCATTGCTGAGAAAATCGCAAAATACGCTTTCTGTAAGCAAGCAAACAAGCAAGTTAATCAGCAAGAAATCTCAATAACGAGACATTGAAGAGACTTCTAGTTTTTTACATTTGATCCGTGCTGCTCTATAGAAGAGCTGTATTGTTTTTAGGCAAGCTAGTATCAGCCGTTGCTTCAGAAAAACCAAAAAACTTTCCTATCTTACGAATTTTTCAAATTAAAAGTTCACTGTGATTTTTTTTAAATACATTTTCAATTTTGGACTAGGGGCGACCCTAGTCAAAATCAATTTTGTCACTTTTTTCTTCAAGGGTTTATACAAATGGATTGAAACTTTGCATAAATATTCTGGTGCTTAAAACAAATACAAATAAAACATCCTTAAAATTTTTTTGAGCAAAGAACCAAGTAGGAAATACATTTTCAATTTTGGACTAGGGGCGACCCTAGTCAAAATCAATTTTGTCACTTTTTTCTTCGAGGGTTTATACAAATGGATTGAAACTTTGCATAAATATTTAAGTGCTTAAAACAAATAAAAATAAAACATCCTAAAATTTTTTTGAGCAAAGAACCAAGTAGGAAAAACATTTTCAATTTTGGACTAGGGGCGACCCTAGTCAAAATCAATTTTGTCACTTTTTTCTTCGAGGGTTTATCCAAATGGATTGAAACTTTGCACAAATATTCTAGTGCTTAAAACAAATACAAATAAAACAATTTAAAATTTTTTTTAGCAAAGAACCAAGTAGGAAATACATTTTCAATTTTGGACTAGGGGCGACCCTAGTCAAAATCAATTTTGTCACTTTTTTCTTCGAAGGTTTATCCAAATGGATTAAAACTTTGCATAAATATTCTGGTGCTTAAAACAAATACAAATAAAACATCCTTAAAATTTTTCTGAGCAAAGAACCAAGTAGGAAATACATTTTCAATTTTGGACTAGGGGCGACCCTAGTCAAAATTAATTTTCTCACTTTTTTCTTCGAGGGTTTATCCAAATGGATTAAAACTTTGCATAAATATTCTAGTGCTTAAAACAAATACAAATAAAACATCTTAAAATTTTTTTGAGCAAAGAACCAAGTAGGAAATACATTTTCAATTTTGGTCCAGGGGCGACCCTAGTCAAAATTAATTTTCTCACTTTTTTCTTCGAGGGTTTATACAAATGGATTGAAACTTTGCATAAATATTGAAGTGCTTAAAACAAATAGAAATAAAACATCCTTACAATTTTTTTGAGCAAAGAACCAAGTAGGAAATACATTTTCAATTTTGGACTAGGGGCGACCCTAGTCAAAATTAATTTTCTCACTTTTTTCTTCGAGGGTTTATCCAAATGGATTAAAACTTTGCATAAATATTCTAGTGCTTAAAACAAATACAAATAAAACATCTTAAAATTTTTTTGAGCAAAGAACCAAGTAGGAAATACATTTTCAATTTTGGTCCAGGGGCGACCCTAGTCAAAATTAATTTTCTCACTTTTTTCTTCGAGGGTTTATACAAATGGATTGAAACTTTGCATAAATATTCAAGTGCTTAAAACAAATACAAATAAAACATCCTTACAATTTTTTTGAGCAAAGAACCAAGTAGGAAATACATTTTCAATTTTGGACTAGGGGCGACCCTAGTCAAAATTAATTTTCTCACTTTTTTCTTCGAGGGTTTATCCAAATGGATTAAAACTTTGCATAAATATTCTAGTGCTTAAAACAAATACAAATAAAACATCTTAAAATTTTTTTGAGCAAAGAACAAAGTAGGAAATACATTATCAATTTTGGACCAGGGGCGACCCTAGTCAAAATCAATTTTGTCACTTTCTTCTTCGAGGGTTTATACAAATGAATTAAAACTGTGCATAAATTTTCTAGTGCTTAACACAAATACAAATAAAACATTCTAGTATTTTTTTGAGCAAAGAACGAAGTAGGAAATACATTTTCAATTTTGGACTAGGGGCGACCCTAGTCAAAATCAATTTTGTCACTTTTTTCTTCGAGGGTTTATCCAAATGGATTGAAACTTTGCATTAATATTCTAATGCTTAACACAAATAAAAATAAAACATCCTAAAGTTTTTTGAGTAAAGAACCAAGTAGGAAATACATTTTCAATTTTGGACTAGGGGCGACCCTAGTCAAAATCAATTTTGTCACTTTTTTCTTCGAGGGTTTATCCAAATGGATTGAAACTTTGCATAAATATTCTAATGCTTAACACAAATACAAATAAAACATCCTAAAGTTTTTTGAGCAAAGAACCAAGTTGGAAATACATTTTCAATTTTGGACTAGGGGCGACCCTAGTCAAAATCAATTTTGTCACTTTTTTCTTCGAGGGTTTATCCAAATGGATTGAAACTTTGCATAAATATTTTGGTGCTTAAAAAAAATTCAAATAAAACATCTTAAAATTTTTTTGAGCAAAGAACCAAGTAGAAAATACATTTTCAATTTTGGACTAGGGGCGACCCTAGTCAAAATCAATTTTGTCACTTTTTTCTTCGAGGGTTTATCCAAATAGATTGAAACTTTGCATAAATATTCTAATGCTTAACACAAATACAAATAAAACATCCTAAACTTTTTGAGCAAAGAACCAAGTAGGAAATACATTTTCAATTTTGGACTAGGGGCGACCCTAGTCAAAATCAATTTTGTCACTTTTTTCTTCGAGGGTTTATCCAAATAGATTGAAACTTTGCATAAATATTCAAATGCTTAACACAAATACAAATAAAACATCCTAAAGTTTTTTTGAGCAAAGAACCAAGTAGGAAATACATTTTCAATTTTGGACTAGGGGCGACCCTAGTCAAAATCAATTTTCTCACATTTTTCTTCGAGGGTTTATCCAAATAGATTGAAACTTTGCATAAATATTTTGGTGCTTAAAACAAATACAAATAAAACATCCTAAAGTTTTTTGAGCAAAGAACCAAGTAGGAAATACATTTTCAATTTTGGACTAGGGGCGACCCTAGTCAAAATCTATTTTGTCATTTTTCTCTTCGAAGGTTTATCCAAATGGATTGAAACTTTGCATAAATATTGAAGTGCTTAAAACAAATTCAAATAAAACATCCTAAAATTTTTTTGAGCAAAGAACCAAGTAGGAAATACATTTTCAATTTTGGACTAGGGGCGACCCTAGTCAAAATCAATTTTGTCATTTTTCTCTTCGAAGGTTTATCCAAATGGGTTGAAACTTTGCATAAATATTTTGGTTCTTAAAACAAATACAAATAAAACATTCTGGTATTTTTTTGAGCAAATAACGAAGTAGGAAATACATTTTCAATTTTGGACTAGGGGCGACCCTAGTCAAAATTAATATTTCACTTTTTTTTGAGGGTTTATACAAATGGATTGAAACTTAACATAAATATTCTAGTGCTTAAAACACATATAAATAAAACATCCCAAAATTTTTTTGAGCAAAAAACCAAGTAGGAAATACATTTTAAATTTTGGACTAGGGGCGACCCTAGTCAAAATCAATTTTGTCATTTTTCTCTTCGAAGGTTTATCCAAATGGATTGAAACTTTGCATAAATATTTTGGTGCTTAAAACAAATACAAATAAAACATCTTAAAATTTTTTTGAGCAAAGAACCAAGTAGGAAATACATTTTCAATTTTGGACTAGGGGCGACCCTAGTCAAAATCAATTTTCTCACTTTTTTCTTCGAGGGTTTATCCAAATGGATTAAAACTTTGCATAAATATTCTGGTGCTTAAAACAAATACAAATAAAACATCCTAAAGTTTTTTGAGCAAAGAACCAAGTAGGAAATACATTTTCAATTTTGGACTAGGGGCGACCCTAGTCAAAATCAATTTTGTCACTTTTTTCTTCGAGGGTTTATACTAATGGATTGAAACTTTGCATAAATATTTTGGTGCTTAAAACAAATACAAATAAAACATTCTGGTATTTTTTTGAGCAAATAACGAAGTAGGAAATACATTTTAAATTTTGGACTAGGGGCGACCCTAGTCAAAATCAATTTCTCACTTTTTTTCGAGGGTTTATACAAATGGATTAAAACTTTGCATAAATATTCTAGTGCTTAAAACAAATACAAATAAAACATCCCAAAATTTTTTTGAGCAAAAAACCAAGTAGGAAATACATTTTAAATTTTGGACTAGGGGCGACCCTAGTCAAAATCAATTTCTCACTTTTTTTCGAGGGTTTATACAAATGGATTAAAACTTTGCATAAATATTCTAGTGCTTAAAACAAATACAAATAAAACATCCCAAAATTTTTTTGAGCAAAAAACCAAGTAGGAAATACATTTTAAATTTTGGACTAGGGGCGACCCTAGTCAAAATCAATTTTGTCACTTTTCTCTTCGAAGGTTTATCCAAATGGATTGAAACTTTGCATAAATATTCTAGTGTCTAAAACAAATACAAATAAAACATCCTAAAATTTTTTTGAGCATAGAACCAAGTAGGAAATACATTTTAAATTTTGGACTAGGGGCGACCCTAGTCAAAATCAATTTTGTCACTTTTCTCTTCGAAGGTTTATCCAAATGGATTGAAACTTTGCATAAATATTCTAGTGTCTAAAACAAATACAAATAAAACATCCTAAAATTTTTTTGAGAAAAGAACCAAGGAGGAAATACATTTTCATTTATGAACTTGGGACAGGTCTAGTCAAAATCTAGTTTTTCATTTTTTTTTTCGAAGGTTTATCCAAATGGATTGAATCTTTTCATAAATATTCTGGTGCTTAAAAGAAATACAAATAAAACATCTTAAAATTTTTTGAGCAAAGAGCAAAGTAGGAAATACATTTTCAATTTTGGACTAGGGGCGACCCTAGCCAGTCTAGGGTTTATCCAAATGGATTGAAACTTTGCATAAATATTCAAGTGCTTAAAACAAATACAAATAAAACATCCCAAAATTTTTTTGAGCATAGAACCAAGAAGGAAACACATTTTAAATTTTGGACTAGGGGCGACCCTAGTCAAAATCAATTTCTCACTTTTTTTCGAGCGTTTATACAAATGGATTGAATCTTTGCATAAATATTCTAGTGCTTAAAACAAATTCAAATAAAACATCCTAAAATTTTTTTGAGCAAAGAACAAAGTAGGAAATACATTGTCAATTTTGGACTATGGGCGACCCTAGTCAAAATCAATTTTGTCACTTTTTTCTTCGAGGGTTTATCCAAATGGATTGAAACTTTGTTTAAATATTTTAATGCTTAAAACAAATACAAATAAAACATCCTTAAAATTTTTTTGAGCATAGAACCAAGAAGGAAACACATTTTCAATTTTGGACTAGGGGCGACCCTAGTCAATTTTCTATTTTTTTTCTTCGAGGGTTTATCCAAATGAATTGAAACTTTGCATAAATATTCTGGTGCTTAAAACAAATACAAATAAAACATCCTAAAGTTTTTTGAGCAAAGAACCAAGTAGGAAATACATTTTCAATTTTGGACTAGGGGCGACCCTAGTCAAAATCAATTTTGTCACTTTTTTCTTCGAGGGTTTATACTAATGGATTGAAACTTTGCATAAATATTTTGGTGCTTAAAACAAATACAAATAAAACATTCTGGTATTTTTTTGAGCAAATAACGAAGTAGGAAATACATTTTAAATTTTGGACTATGGGCGACCCTAGTCAAAATCAATTTCTCACTTTTTTTCGAGGGTTTATACAAATGGATTGAAACTTTGCATAAATATTTTGGTGCTTAAAACAAATACAAATAAAACATCTTAAAATTTTTTTGAGCAAAGAACCAAGTAGGAAATACATTTTCAATTTTGGACTAGGGGCGACCCTAGCCAAAATCAATTATGTCACTTTTTTCTTCTAGGGTTTATCCAAATGGATTGAAACTTTGCATAAATATTCTAGTGCTTATAACAAATACAAATAAAACATCCCAAAATTTTTTTGAGCATAGAACCAAGAAGGAAACACATTTTAAATTTTGGACTAGGGGCGACCCTAGTCAAAATCAATTTCTCACTTTTTTTCGAGGGTTTATACAAATGGATTGAAACTTTGCATAAATATTCTAGTGCTTAAAACAAATTCAAATAAAACATCTTAAAATTTTTTTGAGCAAAGAACAAAGTAGGAAATACATTTTAAATTTTGGACTAGGGGCGACCCTAGTCAAAATCAATTTCTCACTTTTTTTCGAGGGTTTATACAAATGGATTGAAACTTTGCATAAATATTCTAGTGCTTAAAACAAATACAAATAAAACATCCCAAAATTTTGTTGAGCAAAAAACCAAGTAGGAAATACATTTTAAATTTTGGACTAGGGGCGACCCTAGTCAAAATCAATTTCTCACTTTTTTTCGAGCGTTTATACAAATGGATTGAAACTTTGCATAAATATTCAAGTGCTTAAAACAAATTCAAATAAAACATCTTAAAATTTTTTTGAGCAAAGAACCAAGTAGGAAATACATTTTCAATTTTGGACTAGGGGCGACCCTAGCCAAAATCAATTATGTCACTTTTTTCTTCTAGGGTTTATCCAATTGGATTGAAACTTTGCATAAATATTCTAGTGCTTAAAACAAATACAAATAAAACATCCCAAAATTTTGTTGAGCAAAAAACCAAGTAGGAAATACATTTTAAATTTTGGACTATGGGCGACCCTAGTCAAAATCAATTTCTCACTTTTTTTCGAGCGTTTATACAAATGGATTGAAACTTTGCATAAATATTCAAGTGCTTAAAACAAATTCAAATAAAACATCTTAAAATTTTTTTGAGCAAAGAACCAAGTAGGAAATACATTTTCAATTTTGGACTAGGGGCGACCCTAGTCAAAATCAATTTCTCACTTTTTTTCGAGGGTTTATACAAATGGATTGAAACTTTGCATAAATATTCTAGTGCTTAAAACAAATTCAAATAAAACATCTTAAAATTTTTTTGAGCATAGAACAAAGTAGGAAATACATTTTAAATTTTGGACTAGGGGCGACCCTAGTCAAAATCAATTTCTCACTTTTTTTCGAGCGTTTATACAAATGGATTGAAACTTTGCATAAATATTCAAGTGCTTAAAACAAATTCAAATAAAACATCTTAAAATTTTTTTGAGCAAAGAACCAAGTAGGAAATACATTTTCAATTTTGGACTAGGGGCGACCCTAGCCAAAATCAATTATGTCACTTTTTTCTTCTAGGGTTTATCCAAATGGATTGAAACTTTGCATAAATATTCTAGTGCTTATAACAAATACAAATAAAACATCCCAAAATTTTTTTGAGCATAGAACCAAGAAGGAAACACATTTTAAATTTTGGACTAGGGGCTACCCTAGTCAAAATCAATTTCTCACTTTTTTTCGAGGGTTTATACAAATGGATTGAAACTTTGCATAAATATTCTAGTGCTTAAAACAAATTCAAATAAAACATCTTAAAATTTTTTTGAGCAAAGAACAAAGTAGGAAATACATTTTCAATTTTGGACTATGGGCGACCCTAGTCAAAATTAATTTTCTCACTTTTTTCTTCGAGGGTTTATCCAAATGGATTGAAACTTTGTTTAAATATTTTAATGCTTAAAACAAATACAAATAAAACATCCTTAAAATTTTTTTGAGCATAGAACTAAGAAGGAAACACATTTTCAATTTTGGACTAGGGGCGACCCTAGTCCAAATCAATTTTGTCACTTTTTTCTTCGAGGGTTTATCCAAATGGATTTAAACTTTGCATAAATATTCTAGTGCTTATAACAAATACAAATAAAACATCCCAAAATTTTTTTGAGCATAGAACCAAGAAGGAAACACATTTTCAATTTTGGACTAGGGGCGACCCTAGTCAAAATCAATTTTGTTATTTTTTCTTCGAAGGTTTATCCAAATGGATTGAAACTTCGCATAAATATTCTGGTGCTTAAAACAAATACAAATAAAACATCCTAAAATTTTTTTGAGCAAAAAACCAAGTAGGAAATACATTTTCAATTTTGGACTAGGGGCGACCCTAGTCAAAATCAATTATGTCACTTTTTTCTTCTAGGGTTTATCCAAATGGATTGAAATTTTGCATAAATATTCAAGTGCTTAAATTAAATACAAATAAAACATCCTTAAAATTTTTTTGAGAAAAGAACCAAGTAGGAAATACATTTTCAATTTTGGACTATGGGCGACCCTAGTCAAAATCTAGTTTTTCATTTTTTTTTCGAAGGTTTATCCAAATGGATTGAAACTTTTTATAAATATTCTAGTGCTTAAAAAAAACACAAATAAAACGTACTTAGTTTTTTGCTCAAAAAAATTTTAGAATGTTTTATTTGTTTTTGTTTTTAGCATTAAAATATTTATGCAAAGTTTCAATCCATTTGGATAAACCCTCGAAGAAAAAAGTGACAAAATTGATTTTGACTAGGGTCGCCCCTAGTCCAAAACTGAAAATTGATTTTCTATGGTGTACTTTGGTCAAAAAATTTTTTTGGATGTTTTAATTGAATTGACATAATTCTGACATAAATCACATACCAATATTACTTTTTGTAATGCATAGTAAAAAAAATTGAAATCTAAAATTTTGACTACCCCATCTGAATTTTGTTCATACTCTTCACTGTAGAAACCAAAAAACAAATTATTTATCTTAAAACACTTGACAAAATAGCGACATAATTCAGGATTAATTACTTTTTAATAATATTTTAACATTTACGAGAAAATGTGGTTCAAACAAGTGTGAAGTATGGCCTAGATTTGGACCAAAATCAGCTATACCGGTTCATAGTGTTCCCGAGGATGACAAAATTCAAACTAAGTGTTTTTGTAGCTGACATAATTATGACATAAATTAGGTACAATTTTTGAACTGTGTCGATATGGGTCTCGGCCGTACTTCACGCCCACCCTTCAAACTTATGCTGAGCAAATCTTGGTATATCCATAAGACTTTTGATGTTACGGTGTGAATATATCCGTATTGGGTTTCTACCAGTTTCTACCCGATACACTAGTTTCTTCTTCTTTTTTGTATTCTTTAAGAGGAAAAGTTGTTGTACAAAATCGTGTTGCACGTCCATGGCTTATGTTCAGTTGGATTTACAATTGGACAAAAACATCATCAGACGAGATTGAACAAAAAGGTCGCCTTAATGCTTTTACACGAGAAATGATTCGAAAACGCAGAGAGGAATCTGAAAATGGAGTAGTTAAGGAAAGAGTATCTTTATTGGAATACATGATTGATATAAATAAACGTCATCCTGACTTTACTGATGAAGATATTATCGATGAAACTTGTACGTTCATGCTTGCGGTAAGAATATAAGATAAACAATTTTTAGTTTCTTTTGATGAGTGATTTTTCAAAATTGAATGTAGGGACAAGATTCTGTAGGAGCATCCTTAGCATTTACTATGTATCTCATTGGTAAGTTTTTAATAAATATGCAAAAACTTTACCTTGATTATGAAAAAATTCTGATTTGCAGCACAGCACCCTGAACATCAGCAGAAGTGCATTGATGAGATTGACGAAATTTTCGGTAGCGACAACAGATCACCAACAATGAATGATTTGCATGATATGAAATATTTAGAGATGTGCATCAAAGAGGCTTTACGGTAAATAATTTCTGGTTTTAATCAAATTTAAAAATAAAATTTTGATAATTTTTTTTGTCTCTATAGTTTGTATCCTGCTGTTCCAATTATGGCAAGAAAACTCGGTGAAGAAGTTAGGTGTGGAAAATACTTACTGCCAGTTGGCGCAGAAGTTTTTATCTTGCCTTATATAACACATCGTCTTGAACATATATTCCTTGATGCAGAAAAATTTGTTCCTGAAAGATTTACACCAGAAAATGTTGAGAAAAGAAATCCATATGCTTTCTTACCATTCTCAGCTGGACCAAGGTAAACAATTATTTCAATTATATTAACATTATCCTTCATACTCTGCTTAATTTCAAATAACAGAAATTGCATTGGACATAAGTTTGCAATTATAGAAATGAAGACAATCATATCAAGAATTTTAAGAAGCTTTACAATGCATACAGTGCCAGGAAAAAGTTTTGAGCCACTTTTTAGAATAACTTTAAGGGCAAAAGGAGGACTGTACGTACGATTTGAGCCAAGAAATAACAACAACAATAACGATGAAAAAGTGCAATAGAAGCTTTTTTTTAATTCTTTTATCAAACAACAAATTATTTATTTAATGTCAGTTTGAAAGACTTTTTAGGGTGATATTCATCAATTTTGTATCATAAAAAGTATTTATTTTAAACATTCCAAAAGTCATGATGCTAATAGATGAATAAAATTTTGCTGAAATTATTTAATTTATTATAGCCAATGAATTTGGGTCAGAACGATTTTTTTTAACAAAATAATAACAATAATCAGGTAACATATTTTTTCTTTTGAAACAAAATAACATTAATAAAAATAGCTGTGTTGCTAAAAGATTTTTTGAGTCAAGACTGTAAGTAATTATCTTTCCTTGACAAGTGAGGAAAAAAAACTTGTTCTATCACATAAAAAAATATTAAAAATACTTCTGAAAATATGAATCAAATCTGATATAAAATTTTTATCCTCAAATGTTCTCAAGTTTTGTGACAGAACAAAAACAAGTTTTTTATGATTCATGCATTTTCATATTTTATTATTGATTTTTTTTCTTCAAATATACATTTTTTGTTTTTTTTTTTTAATTTTAATATCGTAAGAATAATAGCAATAATAATGACAAAAATTATATGTTTAAAAATAACCTTCAGTTTTCTATGTTTCACTTCAAAAATATTAGAATATTAATCGAAGCGGAAATAGTTTAAATATAACTATTTTCTATTGACTATCAGTCGCAATATTTCGACTAAATATGGTTAAAAATTTGACTGTCTGTAACAAATGAGTAGCAGTCAACAATGTTCGCCCGAGAAAATCAAAAAACACAGGAAAATAATTTTCAAATTTATCTTCTTAACTCATTGGACGGGTATTGCTTCTATAATTTATAATGTTATGAGAGAAAATTGCAAACAATAAAAGGACATAACATTTCATTTCTTTTTCTCTTAAAAATATTGCAGTTTTCATTATAGCAAATGGTTAACATAAATGTTTAGAAGAAAGCTATATAAAAAGTTCAAAATGGTTGAGAAGAAGAACGATTGTAAAGAAAAGTTTTAGTGAAAATTGTATAGCTTGGCTTGTGAATAAGTACCTCCAATAATTATAGACAAAACTTAACTAAGTGAGAAAAAAATAAACTGGTGGAAGTGATGGAAATGAAGTGCATTTTCTTTTCACAAAGAAATCTCATCTATTTATTAAGAAGCTTTCAAAGGTTTGTGTCCATACAATTTCCATTAAAATAAGATTTTCTACAAAACAAGGAGATTTAAAAGCTAGCAAGTAAAATTTTAGGATAATATAATGATTATTATATTTTTTTTTATTTCATTTTTTATTCTTATTTCTGGTTTCAAAATTTAAAATCAGGTAAAGAATTTTTTTATGAGACACAGAGATTATAAAAATTCTTTCTTCCTATTTCTTCAAGCAATAATATTATGATTTAATATGAATAAAAAAATGAGTGAAATTTTATATCTTTTAAGTGAGAAATACAGAATTAAAAACAGAAATTATTTCATTTTTTTGTGTATTATTATTCGGGCATAAAAGCAGTTCAACACAAATATATATAAAGTTCACGAAAAGTTTTTTCTCTTCTATTTGCTTCGTTGAGATGGATCCACTTTTTGTCTTCTATGAGATATAAAAGAAGCAAAACATAGATAGAAAAAAAGTTTTTGTTTCTTTGCATAAATTTAAGGCGTTTAAAATAAATGAAATATATTCGTTGTGTCTCATTCATAACGATTAATAATTAGTATGCTACTCAAATTTCTTGAATTGTTTAAATGAAAATTACACATTTTGGACAAGTTAAGAAAGAAAAAAAATAGTTTAAAAAGTTTTGAGCTCGATTTTTATGATTAATTGTTTTTTATAATACCTTGCTAATATCCAAAAGGATTTAAAAATCACAATTGAACATTTTAGAGAACATGATGTTCTTTAATCAGGAAAAATTACCACAATCTCGTAAACAATACCACTAACGCCCAATGTTCTATGAAAATTGAAGAAAATTTCTCACAATTTACAAGCCACAACTGTATCATTACCCTATTCCTTTCTACTCTTTTTTGATACATCACAAAAAAAAATTCTGTTCGTTCTTTTTTATCTTCTCCAAAATTCTTTCGATCTAACAAAGTTTGCATTTTGTTTGAGGATACTGGCTTTTGTGGTTCTATCCGTTGTCATTGTCACTGCTTGTTGCTTTGGCTTTGACAATCTCTCGGTCGCCTCTCTTACTCTATCGCTTAACCTAAATGTCGTTGTAGGATTCGTTGATAAAGATGATGTAGATTTTCTCGTTGCTGGTGAAAATGACAATAAAGTTTGGGTGTCTGTTGTTGGTGATGGTGGACTTTTTGCTAAGGGAGAATCAGGGGGAAGATTGTGATTATTGTCGAATCTTGCATTAATTGAATCTTGCTTTGGTAAATCACACATATTCACACGATTGATTATATGCATTGCGGGTAAAGGTGGATTAGTATTAGAGTTATCTGGTGTGGTAACGCATTTCAAACCTTTCTCATTGGTAACTGATGATTTTAATTTATAATTTGGTAAATTTATCTGACCACTCATCAAGTTAGTCGACTCGTCAGGTGTTTCATACTTTTCCATTAATTTTGCTACTTTATTTGTCTTTTTCAACTTTTCTAATGAGAACTCTTCTCGTATTTTAGATGGTGATGATTTTTTTGTTACTATATTCTCAAGTGAAACTTTTCGTCGTTCTATCTCACTCATTAAATCACCATCGTCATTTTGAAAAAGTTCACGTCGTGTTGGCACCCGAATCGATATATCGATGATGTTTTCATTATTATCACAATTAGTCTTGTTGGCTTCATCATACTCGAGTGATGAAATCTCACTTCGAATATCATGATCCGAACTTATGGTATGGATTTCCTCAGCAGCATCGATTTGATGCTGTGTGCTTTCTGTTGTCTCATGCAGTTCTATTGAACTACAACTACTTGTACTATTGCTATGCTCTTCAATTATAGTATCTTGAACATGAGCTGTTAAATTGCAGACACACGAAGCGCTAGGTGTTGAACAACTTGAGCATTCACTAAAACCTGAGTCACTGCGTTCATTACAGACTCGTGGATCTTTTGATTTATCATTAGCACACAATAAATTAGTAGAAACATTTTCAGCCTCTTCATTAACACTTGTTATTCGTTTATCAGAAACATAATTATGAATATTAATACTATTACTATTATTATTAGTTGGTCCTGATAGTGATGGCCGTGGGCTTCCATATACACCACCAGCACTCTTTCGCGATGCAGCGGATAACGTAAGATTTTTCATCTTACCGATGGCTCTAATGGCGTTTCCAGTTTTCTATAAAAATTTCGACACACAAAATATTTCATGCAAACATAAAAAAAAAATCACACCACAAAAAAGCATGAACAGACAAAACAAAATCTCTTACCTGCCACTTTCTGCGAATGATGAATTTTTTCAATTTATCCGTGCATAATTTAATACTGCCCATGACATCATAATGTTGTGATAACCATTTTGATTCAAGGCATTGTTTTGCATTCATACGATTTTCCTTACGGTAAACTAAAAGTCCAGCAATAAAGTCTTTTGCTTCTTCTGTTATAGTATCAAATGCTTCATCGTCAAAATCGTAATAAGCTCTCGTAATATTTGAAAAAGTGTCTACATCGTTTTCACCCATAAAGGGTGAGAGACCAGAGAGAAGAACGTAACAAATGACACCCACTGTTTTGAAATAATTGGCGACACAAAATGAGAATAGACAGAGATTTAAAAATTGTCATTCGATTAAAGGTATGTAAAAACACTGTAAAAAAAATACAGCAATAAACTCACGGCTCCACATATCAGATTGAAGTCCTATTGGTTCGTAATTGATTATCTCTGGGGGACAAAATTCTGGTGTGCCAAACAATACTCGTACTTGCTTGCCGGGTTCGAGATTTTGTGCTAAACCGAAATCAATGATTTTTATCTAAAGTAAACAAAAATAAAGCATATAATCTCATGCTGACATTTTTAATTAATTTACTTTACAATTTCTTTACTATTACCTGATGACTCGTTCTTGTAATACACATAATATTTTCTGGCTTCAAATCAAGATGGACAACATATTTGCTATGCATATATTCAACGCCTTCACATATTTGTCTCATAAATAAAATGCAATCACGTTCAGTCAGTGTAAAATCATCTGCAACTACTCGTTCGAAAAGTTCACCGCCGCATAAGCTAAGTTTGATGATAGGGATGTTAAGATAAATTAAAAAAAATTTTAAAACATAATAAGAATTGCAGGCTTTGTATTTTTTTTGTTGAACTATATTACTAGCTTATAAGTTAGCTAACTCGAGATTAAAGTTTCCATTAATTTAATAAACCTATGTGTGTAGATATTCAATTTGTTAATACGATACATTTCAATTTGATGCCATTTGAGAATTTGAAGGAGTGAGAAAAACAAAAAAAAAAATAAAATAAAAAAGAGAAAAATGTCGAGTAAATAATTTAATCTGACATATTCAATGACAATAATATGACGTGTAATTGATATGCGGTTGCAAAGTGTACAAGATTTCATACTTTGTCTAGTCTGAAAACAACTGATGACTTTCTTATTATTATATTATTATTACTATACATCTTATTTTGACTTATAAATGCCATTTGTGACACAAAATCTTCAATAGCTTGTAAATAAACTTCTAATAATGAAGATTCTTAAAGTTACAAAATGGCTTTTAACATGGACAGAGACTCTCAAAAGTATCAAAATATTGAATAGAATTTTCTTATTAAAACTAGCCTGTGTGGTTCCTAATTACGATTGGTTTTCTTTACATTCAAAGATCATGAGCCATGGCACTTAAAAAAAAGGAGGAGATAAATTATAATTTTATCTCAGCTTTTCCTTATCTTAACAACTATGAACAATACAATCAATAAGTAGCTGTGAGTAAGAATTGCGTTAATAAAACAAAAACAAGAGAAAAGGAGGACAAAAGGATGGGATATTGATAAATCAAATTAAATTAAGTTTCATTTTATCATTCGCACATATGCTACTACTGCAACATACATACATTGAACACACAACACATCGACTCATTCATTTATTTAGCATGTTTTCTTTTCTAATAAATTACAATCAATTTTATGTGATTGAAAGGATGTGCTTGCTGGCTATACAACACATTGTGCTGTTGTTATATAAACGGACAAGTGTTTTGTGGATAGAAATAGAATGAAAATAGAATAAATAAATAATGTGTGTATATGTGTGTGAATTTCATCAATAAGATGGTGAAAAAAAGCAAAAGGCAAAGTCAAATAATGCCAAAAATATTTATCGAACGTTCTTTGTCAATGCTGAAGAGTATCGAGTGGATGTCGAGAAAAAGAAAATATTGAAATATCTTCAAGATAAAACTTTATTCAAAAAAGAAAAGGAAAGAAATTGTTGTTGGAAGTAACTTAAGGGTTTTATTTTTTATTAAAATAAAATGGCTTGTAATTTGACGCAACCTTACTGATTTTGAACTATTTATCGTATAAGTATTAAGTAAAGTAAGTTCACTGGTTTGTAAAGTTTGGCAATTTTTCCAGAATACTTACTTATCCAAGAAAATGATATGAAAGCATAATGATCAAAAGGATAATTTCATTAGATGGAAAAAATAACATTAATTTTAGGGCAGACGCCTTAAATTGACTCGAAATTTTCAGTTTAACTACTCACTATTCCATCACCATGATAATTTCCTTCTGTGTCTCAAATGAAGCTGAAAGTTGAAGCAGTTTGGGATGTTGAAGTGATTTCATTATTTTGATTTCATCTTGAACCTTTTTACGGTCCATTGCCTTTATACACTTAATTATTTTTGCTGCCAATATGAGTCGAGTTTCACGTTCCATCACACGATATACTGTGCCAAATCTACCCTTTCCTAATTCTTCCAATATGTCGAATCTTGTCTTAAAATCACCTCCTGTCTTTATTTGTGGCACACTTGAATACGTTTCATCTCCTTCCTCACTATCCATATCAATTGGCTTCACTAGAATGATTTCTTCTGTTGATTTACTTGGAGCACTTGAGCCGTGAATATTTTGTGCTCTCACACGAAATCGATACTTTACATCATGAACGAGATTCTTTACAGTATATGCTAGAGAATCTACTATTTTAGCTACTTCTTTCCATTCACCATTATCATGTTGCATTTCGAGTCTTGTTATGAAAATTTTATAAATTAGAATTAATCATAGAAAGTCAAAGGAAATTACTTACAGAAAGCCAGTTAGCATGCAGCCACCATCGTACGGTGGCCCTGACCATGCAACTGCTATTCTATCAGATCCTTTAGAGAAGCTTAATGAAACTGGAGCATCAGGAACACCCTCAACAGCAACCGAGGCCGATGCAATGTCAGTACTATGCTCATTCATAATTTCAACACTATATTTTCCACTTTGGTCTGACGTGATATTGTTAATGATCAATCTCGAGTGACCATTTTTAGTAATGATGATTGTATTAGGTTGATTTTCAATTAAACGTTCCTGTAAATGGCAAAGAAATTAATCATCAAATAAATTAATGACAAAATTGATAAAAGTAAAATTCAATGCAAATTTTTGTGCAAGTGAATAATTCATTTTTTTCTCACTGGAAATCAGAAAAAGAGACAATCGTTGTTACAAAGTGAATACATGGCAAGCAAATCGATGTGTACATGCGAATTGTACATACATGGCATGTTGTCGATGCCTTAGTTTGTCAAATAATATCAACAGTTTTTTTCATTCAAGCAATGATTTAAAAATTTGTTGTTTTTCTTAAAGGAAATTAAGCTTCTGGCTGTCTAATCATTATTGTTGTTGAGATAAATATTAAAGGTTTTGAAAAAGCTTATTACATCGGAACACCTTTTGGAGTTAAAAGAGGGTCTGAGACGTAATAGGTTTAAAAATCGCATTATAACTACCTACACAAATCATTTTATAACTTTTTCTGCAAAAATAATATGCATGTGCAGCATTCAATTAAGATTTTATCAACATTTTTAATTTTTTATGCAAAATGACAGCAGCTGTTGTAGGACATTTAATAAAGATAGAAATTGACAAGAGTGCGGCTTCTTTTCTTTTTTCATTTTGATTTATCTGTCGGTCTCTGCATGTGCTTTTATCTTTATTTTTTTTTCTCTGTTTTGTGTAATATCTAGATGGAAGTTATTGTGACTTTAAAGCTTACTGACTGTGAATTGAAATTTAATACATTTTGCATGTAATGAAACTTGTGAAGCTTCAGATGTTATACATAGTCAAAATTGACTAATAAAAGTTGATTAAAAGCTATAAATCTTATTAACGAAATGCTCAATGTGTGGCTATCATTTCATCTACAAATGAAAAATATTTTATTTTTTAACTAGTTGTTGAAATATTAAAATTGGTTTTTTTGTTCCTCATCTATGTTTTTATTTCTTCATGATCTATATTAATTTTTTGATCTTTTTAAAATTACTACACAAATAATATGAAAAACTTTTAAATTATTTTTTAAAATATTCTCTTTAGTCACGTTGAAAGTTTGAAAATTTAACAAAATAAAAGTCTTGAAAAAATTCGCAAACAACCACGTTAACCGGAGAGCTTTATGCATTATCATTTTCAATATAAATTCTTTTCATTAAATAGCATATGACAGCAGTGTTTTCGCTTAATTGTCTCATCTCATTTTTTTCATAAAATTTTAATTCAATTCATTCCGATTTTCATGTAAAAATAATACCAATTTTTGTTAGTGAATGAACAACTTCATTACCATGGTGCTGATAAAGAATTAAAAATTTATTCAGAAGCAACAATAAGAGACAGTGAAAAAAAAAATGTCAACGACAAAGTTTTTAATACACGAAAATAATTTTTTTAACATCGAAGTTGATTAATTGAATTGTGCGAGCGAATTATTTTGTGTTTTACAATTTAAAAATTACTTGTCTTTTAACTCGACATAAACTCAATTACACAGAGGATTTATGCAATTTAATCGTTTTTTAACCAACAGTTTACAGATATTTTTAAAAATAATTGTGACAAAATAATTTGTTCTCTCTTTTAACATGCATGTTTAGTCCAAAGCTAAGGTCTTTGGAAATCACAAATTTATTATTTTTGATTGTCAAAAACTTCACTGTCTTATCATGTAAATGAAAAAAAAAAACTAATTAACATTCAAATGAAAATTTTAAAAATGAATTAAACTTAAATACCAAAAGCAAAACTCATAAATTCTACTACTCTGAATGACGTCGGAATTACAAATAAAGTATTAAACCACTTGATGAAACAATAGTGACTAACTGTCTTCTCCACACACTATTTAATACACAAAAAAAAAACAGAATGTTTAATATCAACTACAAACAATTTGAATGTAGACTATACACTCCAGAAAGAACTTACAAAAAAAAGAAAGAAAATATAAAACACGAAAAAACAAAGCACAATGATAATGAAAAAACCTGTTCCATATCTCTCTGTACATATGATATGTTCACTTATGTGTATTCTTTTTGTATTTTGAAAAGTAATTCAGAGATAAATGCATAAAAAATTAGTTTGTATGTGAGTCTTATTGAGAGTAACCTTTTTTCAACATGACAAGAAACTCAAAATATGAATATTAATTGTTCATTCTAATAATATTATATTCATTGCTATACTTGTCTTACTGCCATGTTGTTTGAACAATCTTTGCTTACCGAAAATAAACACGAGAATGAATAAACCCAAAGGCAAAGAATAAAGCTATTCATTTTCCACTCAATTGTGCAATTTTTATTTAACTCATTAAGAACGTAAGAAAAATGGGCTGAGAAGTGCCAGCAAAAAAAAAAGTTATCAGAATATTCTTTTTTATGACAGTATACATATGAATAAGTCTCATCTACTGCAAACTGTTGTCAGTTCGTGCATACACGTTTACCGTATACCGAAGTAATGAACATTCCTGTCATGTTCAGATGATTTGCACTAAGCTCTGATTCACGGGTTTGTTCGAACCATTAAAAAATTTTTTCTTTCAATTTTCATGAAATGTTCATGCATATAAAAGGGATTCCATTTGTAAAAGAATTGCAGGAGATTTTGATTGTCAGTAGTTATAAGTTCAACCATTTCAGTAAAAAGATTCAACTTTTAAGTACTGACAAGTTTTTTCGTTATTAAAAATGTATCAAAAAAATACACAACAACTCAATCTTTTGTTTAATGCGATATGAGATGAACACCAGAAAAAAATTTATTTGAGAAATAATAGGAAGCAAGATTTATATTTATGCTCACACATTCATTTACTCTTGTTTCAAATTTCCAATATTGTTATAAAAAAATTCGTTGACAAAAAATAAAATAAAGTTGAAAATGTACTTACAGCTCTCATCCAATGAACTTTTGGATCGGGATATCCAATGTATGAAACATTTAATTCGATTGAATCGCCAACTAAAACTGTTCGATCCTCAGGTCGTTTTGTGATGAAACACGATAAGTCTAAGTCATGAGCTTCACTACTTTTATTGCTTTTATTATTATTGTTACAATTATTTTCTAAAACACTTTCAATCGGTTCGTATCGTTCACTAACTGGAACAGGCAATACAGTCAAACTTGTGTGATAGACATTAAAGATTTTTGGATTATTACAACTAATGACACGGCACTTTATTTCACCACTTTGTCTATGATCGACATTTAACACATGAAGTACGTTCAGACCATCCTCTAATCGCTCAATCTAAATAGATTGTTTTTAAAGAAAAAGCAGACATAAAAAAAATTTGAGATAAATATCGGGTGAATTTAGTTTGCTTGTTATGTTTTCTTCAATTTATAATCGTCGACAAATAAGACGAGATATGAATGTATACACAGTTACAAAACAGCACAGAGGTAACAAAAAATTTGCTTGCTACAGCCTCAAACGCCAATCGACAAATGATTAATAATGCGATGAAATGTAATAAAGTAGAATTGAGAGTAGCTGAGAAGAGAATAGAGTTTGAAGTGTTCATAAATTAATTTAAATAGCGCATTTATAAATAAATGCCTATAACCTTATATAGATAAATTGGACTAAGTTTTGATGTCAATTTTAAAGATTTTTTTAAGATCAGATTCATCTGCTATTAATATTACTAGCTACGTCTCTGCATTTCAACTATAACACAGCTAATTAACATCTGGTAACACCATTATAAAACAAATTAAATAATTTCAACTTATTGACGCGAGTGATTTTCAATGCATAACGAGATAACCACTGAAAAATTATTCTATTTTTTTGCATTTGATCAAGGAATATGTGACGTTTATAAGTTTTTTTTTGCGGTCAGATTTGTCATCAATGAAATAAGAGGAGAATTTTTCACTAGATTGCTATTAAGTTTAATTATTGTTGCTGAAATATCCACTTTCAAACTGTTTTATATATTTTTTATTGGAAAGCTAAAATTGTGTTATCAAAAATTCGAGTTTAACTATGGTTAAATGAATTTATCAAAGAAATGTTGTTTAAGGAATAAAGTTTAACTTTATCTGAAACAAATTTTTTACATTTTAAAGTAGTGTTTTTTATTTGTACAGTTTGAGAATAAAACGAAAACTGCCAAAAAACTCAATTTTTTTCCTAATGTATTCATTGATAATCATCAGAATTGAATAGAATATCATTTAACAAGAGCGAGGAAAAAATAAATTTAGATTTTGCTTGAAGGAGAGCACGTAGCTTACATGTATTTGAGGTACTTCCATAATTATTTATTACAAAATTATTTATTTATTGCCGTGAGCTCCCCGCGCTCGCAAAAGCTACAGATTTAAGTGAAATTTATTAGCTTGATAACAAATTAATTTCAACTGCTTCTATTAATTATAATTTTGCTATCGCCTCCTCAGCACTTAATTAATATAACTTCACACTTTAATTGATGTCATTCAGTATTATTTTTTTAATTTTATTTTCTTTTTTTGTTTTTTCACCGAATTTAACAAAATTTTTTCCCTTTAGGGTCACCGAGAATTATGCTTTTTTAAACCTTCTCATGGTACTATCATGTGTTTAACTAAATACTATGAACGACATTTGTCTTCATTCATCCATTGAGTTTTATTTTTTTTTCACATTTGTATTTCCGTAATTATACGAATCGGATGGTGCCTATAATATTTTACACACGCATAAACGTCATTTATCATGCAACAAGTTGGGAAGTTCCAAAAGCGGATTTTCTAAAAAATATGATGAAACAGGCCTTTGATATCTCCAACAATGACAAAATGTTAATGTCCAAAATGAAGTTGTATAAGAAAAGAAACAAAGTTTTACCCATGTAGATGTGTTTGATGACTAATGACAAAATGTGTTTCTTGTGTGCGAAAGAAATGAGAAAGAAGAAGAAAGAAATCAGTTGATGACGAGACATCAATAAATAGTTTCAAGGTAACTGGCACAATAACACATATGCAAAGAAAGCTATTGACCTGGAATAAATAAACTTTTCATTTCCATCTGCACATTTCAGTATTATTACATGATGTTCATTTTCTACATATGATATAAATTTATGTATATTATCATAATGCGGGCGCTTTTGCTGATGTTTGATATTTCTATTTATCAATAGCACAAAAAAAGTTGCATTCATTTCATTTTCAATTTTGTTATGCAAATGGAACAGCATTCAAATGAACAACCATTCGATATGCATTAGCTGCATGTTATTGCGAAAAGAGAGTCTTTCATTTATTATGTAATCGAATTTCCAATTTTTATGTAAAAAGCTCTGTTGATTGGAAATAAAAAGAGGAAAAATTGAGTTTGCTCTAGAATTAGTTTGGTGATGGCATTTTTATTCGCAATTGAAATTAGATTGCCAAATATTTGAGCTGCTATGTGAATGAAGTTAATTTGCACTAATACTTGATCAATTCAATATCTGCATTTCAATTTAAAAACTACTGTTGAAGTTAGCTAAAGAAATGTTGTCAACATGTAGGAGACTCATCTCTGATGGGAAGAGTTTACATTATTATACATCTTCGTTTCTATTAAAAACTATAATGATAAAAAACCAGAACCATTGAAAAGCGTAAAAGCATTTAATTCTCAAGCTTAAACACATATTTTTTTTATCACAACATCCCCTTAATTTTGGCATATTTAAATTTATCTTGATTTCATTTATAGAGCAATACCATTGTTGAATTTGAGGGGCATTTTTACGAATTATATTTACATTAGAATTAATTAGAAAATTCGATTGTATCGTCTTTTGTCAACGATACTGATATAATATTTCAATTATGCAAATTTCATCGAAACAGATCAGATTCGAAATTTCAAATTTTCGCTATGTTTAGCATAAACCAATCTCCTGCCACAAATTTCATTTGAATTTCATTATATAAACTAAAATGAAAATCTTGATATTATCTATTTTAAAGAAAATATAACTTACACTTTTCAAAGTCAGATTTTCTTATTGACATTTTCCTAGCTTTAGAATTTCTTATATCTAAAAGACTCCCACAGGCATGATAAAGCAATATCAAAATGTCAATCTAGTTGACGTTAATTGAAATACTGGTAATATAACTCTATTCTCATACTCGTACAAACAAACTGTGTGGTTTTTGTAGCATTGTAAAAAGTTACAGAAAATAACATTGGATATCAGATTACCTTACTAGAAAACTTTAACGGATATTACTCTAATTTTGGTTCTTACTTGTATTTTAAAGTGAAATTCTTAAATTATTTGAGCCTTAAATGACAAAATTCCAACCTTTTTCACAAAACAAGTCTAAATTTCCGATACACATTAAGACGAAGGTTAAAAAAGAAATTGATTTGTTATTTGAATGAAATACTAATTGATATTGATGGGCGCCGTTTCCGCAGATAGAACTCATACTCTACTGGAAATGAGGATGCTTCATTTACATTTATTTTCTTTACTCATTTTTTATTTTGATCTGTGCTGTTTTCTTTTTGATAACTATAGCAAAACTTCATTTGAAGTGGTTTGAATTTAAAAACTTGATGATCATCACTCACTTCAATAACCTTTAAAGCTATTTTTTTTCCTCAAACAAGTCCATATATGTATTTTACTAACCTTATAATCTTTCATATCATCGTTTATTTCACAACCACACACGCTCCAAATAACTTCAGAGTCAACAGGCGTAATTCGAGCACAAAATGATGCTAAACAACCAGGCAGTGAGATGAAAGGAAGTGGAGCTTTTATAAATTCCGGTATCACATCGAGAACATTAATTTCATAAAGTTCTTCAATTTCTACATCGCATTCCGAAGTACATTCACCAGAAAGTGTTGTAATGACGCACGAATATTTACCGGAATCAAAAACAAACGGATCTTGTATGCGGAGTGTCAATATTCCGTTGCCATGGTCAATGTATCTGTGTAAAATAATTAAAATTAAAAATGATATGTGTGAACTATGAATAATTTCAACTTACATGAAATCATCAGAATTGATGATAGGTTCATCGTTCTTGAACCATACATAATCAAATGGAATTTTGCAGTCAAGATGAAGTGTCAAGTCTAATGGAATACCTTCAATACTTGTTACATTATTGATCAGATGATGTTTTATTTTTGGTGGTATTTTCTCTCTAAATATTTCATCATCGACGTAATGAACTTTTGCAAATGTTGTCGTTGTTGTTATGATCCCATCTTCATCTTCGAGCATTAAAGTGTATTCACCTTCATCGTATGTCTTTACAGTGTCAATTTCTATTAAGATTTCATTCTCATTTTCAGTAATTGTAAGACGTTCACAGTCTGTGATATCATAACCATCATGATAAACAGTTTTTTTGGCGGGTATCGAGGAAGCTCGTTGACCTGCTAGTGCCATTCGTCCACCAATTTTTGTGCTGTAGCCCATGATCCGACGAGATATACTGCGTGAGTCACGATTAGGTGCACTTGATGCACGTATTCCTCGACGATTTACTTTGTTGCTTTTTATAATGTCCAAACGTGCAGTTGCTTCAATTCTTCCATATTCATTCTCAAGTGTTATACGATACAATCCTGCATCCTCAAAACAAACCTCTTCTATTTCCAAATAGCGCATATCGTCACGTTCCTTTATAATGTGACGTTGTGATGGTGTCACAATTACACCGTCCTTGTCCCAAGTTGACCATGGAATTGGATGACCAGCAATTGCACATTGAAATCTTACTGTATCACCTTCCTCGCATACACGATTATGTGGAACTGAATAGAACTTTGGCGCTGAAAATCGATAACGCCTTTGACGATAACTCAAGTGAGCATTATTTGTTATCATCGATAAATGCAATGAAAATGGAGACATGCTACGGGCTGGTGTTGATCTGGGCGTTGAACGTGGTGTTGAATTCGGTGACAAAAAGGTCATTGGGCGTGATAGTTGTCGACTAAGCAAATTTTCTTTCTCCTCGGGTACTAATGTAAAAAAATGAGAGCAATAAGTATAGAACATCAAAATTATTGATTGAACTTTTCGTGTTTTTAATTAAAATGTAATTACCATCAACTATAATACAAGCGAAACTCTTCACACGACCCATATTATTGCATGCTACTAGGCAATATTGACCTTCATCCTCGGGGAAAACACGTTGAATAGATAATGTAGCTTTGTGTCCATTGAAATTCTGTCGATGTTCCGTTGATCTATCATGCAATATTTTACCATCCTTTTCCCAAAAGACGTTGGGCTCCGGCGTTCCCTCTACATGACATTCTAATGTAATTGCATCACCATCACAACATCGTAAATCTTTTAAGTGCTTCACGATGCGAGGAAGTGTTTCAATATTACTAAAAAATATCACAAAAAAGAATAATAATATTAAAATTAAAAGTGATGATGATGGGATTTTAATTTTAATTAAGTAAAAAGTTTCCTTCTACTCCACACATTATTATACATTGAAACCTTTAACCCGATAAAATGGAATATTTTATTGTAAAAAATGTTCATTAACCATAAGAATAAATTTTTGCTACTGTGTGAAATTATAATAATAAAAAAAATATTGTCAAGCTTATAAAATTATGAAATCTTCTAGAAAACAGCGCATTTCATATTTTTCATTAATGTGAATAAGGAAAAAAATCAATATTCAGAAGATTGTCAAACAAAATTCTAGTTTACATATGAAATGAAAAAAAAAATTGTATTTCTATTTCAATAAAGATTTATAGTTTATTTTGCAAAGGAAATTAAGACATAAAGAAAGATATGTTCATGACGCCCTCGATACCTAAACCTTATTGTCACTGCGAATTATCAATCAGAACCCAAAGTTTGTAAATTAATTCAATCTAAAATGTCTACGAAATTTAGATTAAAAAACTTTTATGACAAATAAATCATTCAACATTTCAAATGTGACATCGTGTGCTGTATATAATTTTGTCATTAGCGTTTTCTGCTACACTAACTTTAGGTACAGAACGTGAAATTGTAAAAGTAGAAAAAGAAACTTTTCTCAATGCATTTATTTCAAAAATGAGCTTCACATTATTTTCCTTTTCCTTCCACTTGACATTTTTGCATAACAATTCGTTGCCGCACAATGTGATGCATTTCATGGTTCATCATTGTAATGAAAAAGTTTTTTTTTTTTCTATCAACTTGTTTCGTAAGTTCAGTTCGAGCTAATGAACATTTCTGCTATGTACTATTCGGTTGGAGGGAAGCGAAATTATGCAATTTCTACAGTACATTAAATTTGATGGGAAATGAAAAAGTAAAGGGAAAACTTACCCATGAATAATGGAGCCAGCATCCATGCTTCTACCTAAATCTGAGTTGAATAAAATAAGTTAAAAAATAAAATAAATTAAAATTTTTATATTAAGAATAGAGGATATTCTTGCGTGTTTAATTATTTTACATCAGAACAGCTGTTTTTATAATATAAAAATAATAAAAATATGTATAATAATTTTAATTCTCAAATTAAACACTATTTTAGATTGACATCGACTCTGAATGAAATATTTTCAATTTTAAAAAAGATCATCAATTTTTCCAAAAACATTTTCGAAAAGCTCAGTGAATTTTTTTTTGATGACTTGTCAGCTCATAATAAATTTAAATATTTAAGATGAAATTAAAAAAAAAATTGAAGATATTTTTTTTTACTTTTCATTGAGAACAAAATAAAATATTAAAAGTGGAATTATGAAAAGAGATAAAAAAATTGATGACGAATGCAAGATTAAGAGAAGAATGAATTATTGATAAAGTTTGGGAAAATATAACAAATAGTAAACATTTAGAGTTCGACGGTTTTGAGCTTAATCGTGGTTGGATTTTGTATTTGGATTATTAAGTAATTGAAAAATTAAGTTTAAAATTACTTTCGAATCAAAAATTAAAAAAGATCTTAATTTTTACTTAAAAATTTCTATTCTGCAATAAGTTTTTCCAATTAATTTCACCTTTTCTTTAAAACATATTTACTATTTTACTCACGAACAACTTCAAATCTGATTTAAAATAGAATATTCCATTCGACGAGGAGATACTACCGCAATTGCAAAAATTTGCATTCCTTGCTGCAAAATTTTCTATCTTTTATTCTCTGAAAGAGCATCAGAGTTCATTTATTACAGAGAAAGAAAAAAGAAAGAGGAGAAATATTCACATTCATCTCAAGGAATTGTTTCATTCAATCTCCATAAATGGCATTGTTCGCAAAACTCGCACATTGGCTTGTTTAAGTTGCTAAGTGAGTATGGCTGGAGACTTTATTCTACGTATTGTAATATTTTATATCGAAAACGAATTGCTTTTCATCTTCATATTGCATATATATACACATTGGTGATTCTCCCTTACTATGTCTTTATAAATGGAAATGAGTGGAATTCTCTTATTATAAAATTGATAAAATTCACTATCAAGGCAAAATGTGCATGACCTGCCATATCGTTTTATATTTCATTCTTTCAATTCTTTTTCCGCTTTTCTATTAAGAGATTTTATTGAACATATATCAACTATAGGACTAAAAATATTCTCGTTCCAGTGATTTTCGTTAGTCAAGATGTGGAGACGGGAATTTATTTTAAAGAATAAAACAGTATTATTCAGGCCTAATTTATGTAGAAAGTACAAGTGATGTTCTAAAGACCAGAATCGTTAATAGACAAGAAGATAATGTAAAAGTTATTGCTTTTTGATGTTATTCTTATATAGAAATGCCGTAAAATTCAAGTTTAACTGGATATAATTGCTTGCAGTCGTAATTGCGTTTTTGATATCTCTGTTTGTTAAATTGGCAAATAATTGTTTATACTTTCAATCAATATGGGTACTGTATTGCATATATATAAATATGAATTTTATAAATATTTTAAAATGAAAAACTTTTGAATTGCAATTATGTTGGAAACATTTAAATTATTCATTTGCTTGAGATGCTAATTATATTAATCGGTCTAATAACTTTAACCAGACATCGGAGAAAGCTCGGGTTTGATTTGTTACCTCAGCTTGTTCGTTTTATTTTGGTTCGGGCATTTTTAATAGTTTCAAAAAAATTGTTCAAAACCTTTTCTCTTGAGGTTTAAAATAATATCGATAATATCTAAGAATAATCCGAAGTTTAATGAATAATCATGTATCAACTTTTTTAATAACTGAATATTAATTGATTAGTGATCATATAAATGTTCTTCTTTAAACAGAATAATTCTCTTGAAGTCTGTTTTATACATCAGTTCGCTTAACTTGAAGAAAAATTAAAATATTAAAAGGAAAATTCCTAGAAACTTATTTGAACTTTAGAAATGAAAAAGACACATGTTAAAAAATAATTGATTTACTGAAAATGCAATTATTACTTATTAGAAATTTGAGCAATTTGACCAAATTCTATTAATTAATAAAAACCAACTCAATGCTCAAAGACAAACATAAACATAATCCGTTAAATACTAAAAGATTATGTACATTTATGTTGAAAACGAATTGATATGTATATTTACTCATTCACCAAAATTTTAATCAATTGAATTTAAATAATTAATACTTTGCACAAACAAATCATTTTATTTATTCTCATGTGGAAATAATTGAAAATCATTAATTAAAATTCAAAAATGTGTGAGCAGTAATGAGTATATAAAACAACAATAAATAAAATTGTTGGATTCTTGTTATTGATATAGTTTAAATATGATTTGCTCTTATCCCTGACATGTAATTTGATAATTAATTGTTTTTTAAATGATCCAGTTTGTAGGAATTCAGAATATTTTATGTGTAAATAAACAGCATTTAATCGTAAAGTATTATGATAGCAAAAATTGGTTCTGAATAACCTTACCTTTGGCGTAGATTTGCAACGAAATTATTGCTTTTGCTTGACCATAACAATTTGATGCAATTACGGAATATGTTCCAGTGTATTCGATCTTTGCGTGTGGTATTTCTAAACGATACTCAGATTCATTTCCAATGACACTGCGAAAATGTTGTGCGTCTTTGTAATATTCAGGCTGTGAGAAAAAAGAAATAAAGAGAATTTAGATAATTATGTGCGAATCATTTTCATGATTTAGAGACTTCGGTTAATTTTAATTTTTGGTGTTTGTTGCATTTTGAATTATAGAATTATGGAATTGAAACCTTGTATGATTTCCTCTAAAAGCTTTAATTTACGTAAGAAATTTTTTTTTGCTCATATCCATATAGTACGATTAAAAAGAGCAACAAGGTAAAAAATTTTTGCAGGTTTTATTTGTTTGTTATTTGTTAAAATGTACTCAAAATATATTAAATATAGACGTAATTATTATTTTAAATTCGTTTGATGATTTACAAAAATCATTTGGCTTATATAAATTCAAATATCGAAAAATAAAATTTTCAAGATTATTGAATTTCATTGAATTTTCACTTCTTTAACTCTATCAAAATGCACGTCAATATTATCTGACAAAAATGCATTCATGTGATTTCAATTTAATTCAATTCAATTTTCTCAAAATATTTGAATTTCTCTTCTTTTCATATCTCAATTGAATGTGATCTCAATATTGAATGAAGGAGAATAAACGCATTTGATAGATACTATTAAACAGTCTGCAAAATATTGTAAATGGAAATCTTATGCTTTTGTTATAAAATATTTAAAATAAAAAAATTGAAAATTTTGTGTGAATATGATTTTGAAAATAATGTATAGTTTAATATCTTATGCAGTTCTGGAGCGTATGCTCATTTATTTTAATAAATATTTCCTCTGGAAGGTAATTTGGCATATCTTATGTAATAAAAACCTAGTGGAAAACCATTTAATTCATATCTCTCGATTGTGGTGTGTCGGTATTTATTTTAATTTCATTTTTAAATTATTAAATAATCAGAAATCATATCTCAGTATAATAATATAATAGATATTAATCATAAAAAATAGTGTAATATTTTTAACACGTGCGTATGCGTAAATAAATGTTTAAAATTCACATAAACTATTTACCTACATAAATTTGTGCAAGCAATAAATTGCATAAATTAATCATCCGTTACGAATAAATTTTCCGAACAAGCCATAAACAATATTGTTGCTGCTGTTTGTCTGTGTGTTATTTTTTATGAGTGCTTTAGGGAGCAACAGCATAGTCAAAAAATATTCTTCATATTTTTTCCCCTCTCATCTATATAAAAAAAATTCTTTCCTATCCCATAACGATATATATGCCTTTATACACTCATTTCTATTAAATCATAAATTATGAATTATCTAACCGAAAAAAATGAGAGGCATTTACTTTACCTAAGGATTATGGACTGGTTTAATGGTTTGTTTTGGTAACATCATAATAGCTACAATCAACTTTCCATGCCTTCATTGTCTCATTGCTATAACCATAACTTTTAATTTTGAGCCAAAATTTCTTTCCTGTGAAACCAAAACCCGAACGAATGAGAAAAACGAAAACAACATTATGTGCGACGTCAGACAATTATTGATCAATAAATTTCAAAAAATGGTTATAAAGATGACACTTTAATTATGATTTCATATTTTATGTTTGCCAAAAATAAAAAGGAAAAAAAAACCAACGAAAAAATATGAAGGTGCGACACTTTTTTAATGTGGCATTTGGTATTTTATGCCAAAAAAGTATGTCATTATCACTGTCATTACTGTGAGTCTAAGAGTGAAAGTTTTGGCTTTAAAACAAAAGTTTAAACAGATAATGATACTTTTATGACCATTATTGTGCTTCAATTAAACAAACTGTGCATCCAGCTCCACTGATATTTAATGTATGGAAACAATAACATAGTTTTGAAGATATCAAAGTTGAACTATTATTTACTGTTTTACTGCATTTTTTTAAACAAAACTATTAGAAGAAAGACATGAATATGAATAGATTGGATTTTGATAAATTTTTTTCTTTCTCTGACATATTCTCCGGAAACATAAAGTTACTTATTTAATGAGATTTAATGAATTTAAAAATTGAATTACTCATCCGAAACTTAAAGTAGATGTTATATGAAGAACTTGAATTAGAAAAAAATGAATTAAAAAAGTTATTATGTTTTCGAACAGCAAAAAATAACAATTGATACTCAATATCCATAATACAATTTCACATTGATATTTTTTAAGTTTAAAGTGATTCCATATAAAGTCAACATGCTACAATGCGAAGGAAATAATAATCATATTGATCATATTAAGCTATTAGATAAGTCATATCTTTGTCTACAATGAAAAAGACATAAAAGTTACACAAAATAATCTTTTTCCATATGATTAAAGCGCTGTTTTAGTCATTAACAATAAGTTGATTTTAATAGAATTGATAACTTAATTTTTTACAGTCATTAGCTTATTCGAAATTAAAAAGATCGGGTTTCTTTTTTTCTTAAAATGGTTTATCTTTCATCAATTCAATGCAACCTAGTGAGTTTCGCACGCGTAAAAATCATCATGATACATAAATAACTGTAAGCAACCAAAAGAAATGAAAAGAAATAAAAACCTTGACGATTTCCTAAGTGTTCATAATCGTGATCATATAAGGTAAATGGAATTTCTGCACGCTCTTGTTGAATTTTTTGAATTTTTTTTCCATCTACCATTTTTAAATGTGTCATGGAATATTTATTTATGTTTATTTTCTAGTGAAGTAGCAGTCTCAAGGGCTTTTAGGGAAGACTTTATATGTAAATGACAACTGCAGAGCCTTTTAAAGCCTGCAAGGTCGCCTTTCAAGATCCATATGATTCTACATCATTTCATTTAGCTTAATAGAAACATCAATTTGTCTTGAGCGTGACTTTTTAGGAAAATTAAGACGAGAAATGGACTCAGAATCACACCAGATAAATTAATTATAAATTTTTGAGATGCTTTAGTTTTTAAAAAAATAAATGGATTTCCGTAAACTAAGCTTTTCGAAATTAAATATTTTTTTCTCAACAAATTCATCTGCTCCATAAATGGAACTGGTTTTAGAAATTTTCATTTCAGTCATCTAAAAATTTCAACATTGTTAATTTCATATCATCATTATAGCTGGAAATATCATTGAACGACAATTAAAAATCGAAAACGGCTTTTATAATTTATTTATATAGGTACAATTTTTCTTCTTTTTCCTTGGTTTTTTTTATACGTTTAATTTTAAAGAATTGCACTTGAAATGTAAACCGATTGAAAAACGTCCAAATATGGTCAAAACAGGCAGATAAAAGGTAAACGTAACCATAGCGAGCAGAGTAATAACATGCATTGACTGATTAATGAATGTGGCTTGTTTGTCGCTCTGTCTCTTTTTCTCTCTTTCAATTTTCTCCTTTGCTTGCCGCATTCATGTTATACAAGCCAAACCGCACATTGTGGCAACAACTAGCTCATAGTTCAACAGTGAAAAAAATGTCAGTCGTCGAGTGGAATGTCTTATGAGTGAAGAGGGCGAGAGTGAGAGAATGTGACACAAGAGAATGCTAAAGATTAATGACTTTTGAATACAGTGAGAGAAGAGAGAGGGAGAGAGAGAGAGACAATAAAAAGAAGAAAAAAATCTGTTGTTTATTTGGAAGCTTTAGGCGCCATAGCAAGGTTCTTTTATGCATCTGGAATATTTGCTCGAACAAAGATTTCTGTTTTTGCACACAAAATTTTTCTTGTATGATATATGAGAATCATCACGTTTCATAGTTCCACAATTCGTGCTTATAGTGCATTAAATTTCGCTCCAGTTATTACATGCTGACGCATTTTCCATACACACGATTTTTTTTTTGTAAACTTTGAAAAACCAATTACTTCTAGTTCGATTTCATAATGAAATTATGACTATTATTTTTGAAGGTGAGTTACGAATTGTAATTTAAAATATATTAATGTATGGCTAGTAATTGAAAATTTATTAATGTGGCATGGAAATAAAATTTTCCTTAATTGTCTCTTTTATCATTTAGTTTCTGAAAATAACGACCGATGCAGTACTTTAGGTGTAATCGTAAATCATTTTGGTAAAAGAACGAACAGGAAAAAAAAACATATATTTTTTGTTTCTCTCTCTATGTTATTCCTAACAAGAACAAGAAAAAGCAAGAAGCGCAAATGAAAAAAAAATTCGACAAAATTGGTAATAAATGCTTCATCGAACTGAAATTGCTTTTTATTCACACATCATATTTATTCCAATATGCTCATTTTTTTGGCTTTTATTTCAAAAATTTAAAGCTGGAGGTTCTTTGTGGAACTAAAAACTACTGCATTCATTTAAAATGTCTCGAGTTAAATCTCCAAAAAAAAATTGTTACATACTGACAAAATTTTTATCTGTAGTTGTAAAGTTCTTCTTTTTTTAAGTTTCATCCGTATTCTATAAATATGAATTCCTGCTGTATGATTTGAACATTTACGAGCATATATATAGAGAAATTCAATGAGAAATATAGACAGACATAGGGTTAAAGCAATGGAAATAATAATAATCGATTTATACCGAGTAAGAGAAATTTATTAAACACCTGTGTGAGGCGTACAATGAATCAACAGATTGTCATCGTAATACCTATTCTATTTGACTTCCTCCCTTTTTCCATAACTGCAAAAATCTTCATAAAAATTTTGTGTTTGCGTTTTTTTGCATGACTTGATGATTTATAATGGCAATAGCATTTAAACACGAGAAAGATGTAGAATATCTTACACAGTTGATGGGAACATTAAATTTTAATTGTATTCTGCTTCCATTAATTTAAGTTATAATGTTGTACCATTATGAGTAATTAGCTTAATCGCTGTGCAATGATCTAATATACATAATATTTGACTAGTCGCCCACGACTCGTTTATTACTCATAGCAATTAATTTATTTATAATTTTGAAATGGGTTCTGACAGAAACGCTCTTTTTATAAGAATATTTACTGTATGAAAGAAAAAAAAGATTTACGGTGCATTAAAAAATATCAACAGGCAATCGTTGGCTGGAGTAGTTTCTAATATGTTATAAAAAAG